GCCCGGGCAGGGCTCGGCTGGGGCTGGGAGGAGCCGGGGGGCTGCAGGCGGGACCCCCATCCCGGGCGGCTCGGGGCTCATCCCGGGGGGCTGCAGGCGGGACCCCCATCCCGGGGGGCTCGGGGCTCATCCCGGGGGGCTGCAGGCGGGACCCCCATCCCGGGGGGCTCGGGGCTCATTCCGGGGGGCTGCAGGCGGGACCCCCATCCCGGGCAGGGCTCGGGGCTCATCCCGGCGGGCTGCAGGCGGGACCCCCATCCCGGGAGGCTCGGGGCTCATTCCGGGGGGCTGCAGGCTCCAGCGCAGCCGGGCTCCGGGATGCCGAGCGAAACACAGGCGCAAAGAGGGAGAGGCGCTGTGCAGTGACTCCGGTGCTGCCCGGGTGGGTGGGCTCGTTCTGCGGGGGTGCTGCGGGACAGCCCGCGGCGGGCTGTGGGACGGGGGTCACTGGCACGTGGCTTTGGCGGTTTCCTGTTGTTTCGGCTCTTTCCAACAGCTTTAGAGGGGGAAAAGCTCCCTCCCGGCTCTGGCTGGAGCTCCCAGGTCCTGCGTAGGCTGCGGGGCTCCAGAGCGCAGGGTCCCAGCCCCCGGGCACCCCTGGGATCGGCGGGGAGGGCAGCTCTACCTGCACCCAGCCACGTGTGGGGCGAGGCCCCTGGGATGCAGAGATGGAGCCTGGCGTCTGGAGCTTCCTTGGAGGGCTCTGCATCTTTGAGTTCATTGTCCCAAGCTCCCGACCCCACATATCAGGATTTGTTTCCCACAGCAGGAACTCTACAGAGCCCGACACACTCATTTAGTTGTGGTTGACCTTGAATCCCGTGTTGAGTTTTGGGACTCTCACTCCAAGAAAGACATTGAGGTGTTGGAGCGCATCTAGAGAAGGGCAGCAGAGCTGAGGAAGGATCTGGAACCCGAGTCTGATATGGAGTGGCTRGGGGAGCTCAACCTGGAGAAAAGGTGGCTCAGAAGGGACCTTATCAYTCTRCAAAGGAAGCTCAGTGGGGAGGTTGGTCTCCCAAGTAGCAAATGGAGGAACAAGCTTCAGTGGCCTCAAGGTGTGCCTAGAGAAGTTTAGGTTGAATATTAAGAACCRTTTCTTCAACAGAAGAAACAGGACAATGGTGGCATCGCTATTCCTGKAGGGATTTAACRAACATGTAGATGTRGCACCTGGGGACACAGTTTAGTGGCGAGCCTAGCAGTGCTAGGGGAATGGTTCGACTCAATAATCTTAGAGGGCTTTTCCACCCTCAATGATTCTGGGATTCTGTGGCAGTCTGCTGGTTTCTAGGCTTCCTGTGTATCAACTTTCAGCTACGCAACCTTCAGTGTAGCCTCTTTGCAATGTGTGTTTCTGCTGAGGAATCTCCTGGTGCTGGTGACAAAATGTGCCTTTGCCAAAGCTATGTGGTGGGTAGTTAATGACACTACTATTCAGTGTGATGTGGTCCCTGATTCCATGCTGTCCATTCACACCTTCCTCAGCCATGGAGCCACAAGCGTGTTCCATCCATGTGGGAAGAACCTGCTGCAGTTGGGTGTGAGAGCTGATGGGGGTGTGCCCTGTGTCAAGGACAGAACATGAAAACTTTATCTGTTGGCATGAAATGCCCTCTCTGGACATAGTGTGGTTTCTTGCTGGGTTGTGATGTCATGTTTCTGTTGCTGGTGCATCCATCCTTTGGCACGTGGGGGACAGGTAGTGCTGGGGATGTGAAGAGAATGGGAAGATGATGCTTCAGTGGTTTCAGAGATGCTTTTGGCAGGTGGAGAGTTGCTGCCTGCTCCTGGAGGTGTCCAGAGTGGTGGGCCAGGCATGGCCCCAATACAGCTGCAGAGGTGGCTGTGTGCATTTTGGGGCCTCCTTGGAAAACCTTTGGCACCCGGGCGGGGAGAGCGTCCCTACTGCCGCGGTCGTTTCTGCAGTGATGGCTCTGGTTTTACTGTCCTCATGTGAGACACAAACGTCAAGCTGTGTTCCTTTAAAAGCGCSGTGATACTCTCGTGCACACAAGAGATTATTTTGAGAAGCTCTGGCTGTTTGCAGGCAGCGTGTTTCGGTGATGACCGGAGGCTACTGGCGCAGGGCCCAGGCAGGCAGAGGGCACGGCGGGAGCCAGCAGGTCTGTGCAGCGGGCAGGGCTGTGCATCACGCTGCTCCTGCCCCGGCTGCTGTCCCCACTGCTGTCCCCACCTGCAGTGGGAGGGGGCAGTTGCTTTTCTGTGGGTTTTTGGCACACGGCCTGCCTCTATATTATCTTGCCCCTTATTGCACTGCAAGGTTGCCAAGTAAGTCTTGAGCAACTTTCAAAGCTGCCTTCAGTTTSTGCTTTGTTTTGGGATAAAACCTGCAGCAGCTTCAGGCAGTCATGTTCTGTGTGCACAGTCTGTATAAAACTTTGCTCTCTTCACGTGTACTTAACCTTTGGTGTCCCCTCAGTCCTTSCCATCTGCACAAATGGGGTCCTTTAGAAAAGCACTACAACTCCAGGGCCGGGTGGGATGGAACCCTGAGCAATCTGACCTAGTGAGGGGCATCCCTGCCCATGTGTGGGGGATGGCTGGATGCCCTTCCAGCCCACACCATTTGTGATTCCATGGACTTGCAGGGCACTTTCTTGATAATTAACCTGGTCTGATTATGGCTAGCTTACTGCATGTGAGGGATACAATTGTATTTATTATAGTTAATGAAACTACTGTTGCTTTTTTTGTAAACTCCCGTTTAATTGTCATTTTCTAGTTTCAATTTCCAATTTGACAGTAGTAATGCTGTCTTCATGGGCATGTGTTTGACATGGAGCTGGCAGAGYCTTTCAGTCCTTTCGTTTTTAGTGTGGTTTTGCTTGAACTGCAAGGGCAGGTCAGTAGGTGTTGGAGCTCTTCAGGCTGTAAGATTGGCATAAAGAGAATTGYTCCTTGTAATAATAAAGGCAGTGTTTAGATATGATACAGCCCAAGCTGTGAGGTGTCTTTCTACATCTTCTGTGGCAGAAGATGAAAATCTGTGGTGTGATAATGAACAGGCAGCACCCTGCAGACAGCAACAGGCCAGATTTCCAGGATCTTGGTGGCTGGAGGCAGTGTCAGCTGCAGTCTGACCTGCTTAGCCCTGCTGTGAACACTTGCTACATAACTGTTGATATTGCAGGAAGGCAACACAAAACTGAAATTCGGCCAAGTAAGTGTTTTGGTCCAGTCTGAACTGTCAGAGAGACAATGGAGGCTAACACTTGGCTTGGAAGTGATATTCAAAACATTCCTGTTCTTCCCTATCCTCTGCAGGGCTAACTCTGGGCATGCCACTGTGTTATGTCTGAAGCATTATGGAAGGTTTTCTGCTATGAGCTTGTTTAGTTTTCTGTGTCACTTTGGATGAAGCACTCCCATGCTYGCCTGAATGCAATTGGCTGGGCAGGATCCTCAGAGTGTTATTCAGAAACCGCTTTATTTTGGTACTGTTGCCAAAAGAAACGGCACCAGTGAACCCAGAGAGGTTTGCAGCTGGATCAATACCCCTGGACCAGYGCACAAATATTTGTGCTGGTGCCTGGGAAAGGCAGGGGGGGTGTGGGAATGATGGAAGGGGAGTTGGTCAGTAGAACTCCTTTCACTGGCAGGCCTGAAATAGAGGGGGGTGTCCCAACCTGCATGGTCTCCACTGAGTTGTGCTGCAGGCAGGGGTGGGGTGCAGGTGGGTTGGTGGTGGGTCAGGGAGTCATGCAGGGAGGATGTGACCCCACCCTGGCACCAGGATGCCTTCTGATCATGCCAGGTGGAGATTTGCTCTAAGCTAGCCACGTTTTCTGATGCTGTAGCAGGACAGTGAGTTCTGTGCCAGCAGCCACATGCCCCAGTGTGGGCACAAGGCAGGGGGGACCCTCACAGCCCAGGTAGCAGTGGAGTGAGTTGGGATCACCCATCCCCAAGGGTACTAATGTTTATTTGAATCTAGTATTTAAAGGCAAACATCAAAACTTTCCCTGGCAAGCCATCAAGCTCTTTACAAAGCACCTTCACATCTCTGCTCTGCCAAGCCAGCTGTCAGGGGTGCAGCTYCCTTCTCCCTCTCCATTCAGTGCTTCTCTTTGTACTCTGCCCCAGATAACTATTTTTATGCCATTCTTTAAGCTGTTTGTTTGCTGTTTGACACAGAGTATTCAGGAATCATGTAGTATATGGGACAATCAACCATCAAAGTCACTAAAAAATTTAAAAAGCCCAAACCCAACCCAACAAATCTCATTCTTCACAGGAGCTAAAGTTTACAACTGCTCACGGGTACCTCTGGGAAGGGGGGAGCTTTGCAAATGTTCTGTGAGCAGAGTCCAGAATGGCCCTAGCTGTGGGAAAAGCAGCCCTGCCATGCAGGGTCAGCCCTGTGTGACAATGCCAGCAGCACATGGCACTTCAGCACRAGCTCCAGCAAACATGTGCAGGGTTCACTGCCACCTGCAAGCTTTGCCTGAAGGCTGAGGGGCAAATTCTCTTCTTTGGTCACCTCCATGGGATGCTCCTGTGGGCTGTGCTGCCTGTGAGCCAGGGAAGCAGGCAGGGAGGGACCAGGCTCTGGTTTCCCCAGATGGAGCTTTGCAGCCCCTGTGCTGATTTTGGCACAGTTGTATGAGCAGGCTCCAAAGAGCTGCAGAGAAAGAGCCAGAAAACCCCACAGCTTTGGGGCTTTGCTTTTCCTTCTGGCTGGGTTATGTTTTATTTTGGAGGAATGGCCTGAGCCCACTTGGGGTGAGCACACAGAAGCTACACTGGCACAAGGGGAATGAGATGAATATGAGGGGGATAACAGGTGCAAAAATATCCCATGTAGGTTTTGCCATCTGAACTCCATCTTCTGCAACCACAAGCTGAGGCTTTCAGCGTGGTCAATGAAACCTCGTGACTGGCTCATGCTGGTGCTGGGTAGCCTTTTAAGAATGTTTCAGCAGTCAGAGGAGCTTTTTTGTTGCTGTGCCTTAGGCAGCTGATAGATTTCAGAGACAGCAGAGCTGTTGAGCTTTTCCCTTTTGGTAGGAAACTTAAAGTGCTTGCATGGGCTTCCTGATGCTTTGCTGTCCAGAGGAGTGGCAGATTTGGACCAGATTCCCAGTCACGGCTTTTCCATATGCGTGAGTCATGGTGGCTTCCCAGTGCTGCTGCACCGCTCCGCTCAGGGGTGCAAAACGTATTTTTAGGTTGGTCCACATGTGTGAGCTGTGCTGAGTGGGGGAGGAGGTGTGGGATGGAGGATGGAGCTTTCTGTGAGGATTTGGTATCACTGGATGAAGAGGGTCCCGATGCAGAGGCCTGAGGATGAGTTGTGGTCCGTGCGTGGCTCTGAGCACGGAGCATTTCCAGCCAGCTGAGGGCTGGATTTTGCTCTCTGAAAGAGCTCAAATRTCTAAAGTAAGATCTCTGCACAACGCTGAATTATTTATTGAATAATTTCTCTTGGCAAGGGTCTGATATGCTGTAGATATTTTAGATACTTTAAATACTTCTATTTACGTGTGATTACTGGGCTCTTTCAGGACATTGAGCTCCTTGTTAGCATTTTTCCCTTTTTAGTGGATGCTTGTAAAGACCTTGTGTTTTGCAAATGCATTTCCCGGCAGCCAGAGCAGGAGGGAGCGGAGGCCAGTGCTGCTTCTCCGGTTGCTTGGAGATTCCTATCCTTTGTCCTTGCCCTGCCTTTGGGGTTGGGGTTGTCAGAGGCTGGAGGGACAGCAAAGCCCTTGATCCCAGTGCTGGGCTCTGCCACCAGCTCCATCCCCAGGAACCAGGGGGGAATTTGGTGCTGTGGTCACGCCTAGGCTGTTCATGCACCAGTTWCTTACTGAGAAATAGTTTTTTAAGGAGTGAGATGTCTCTACAATAATGCCAGTGGCACGTGGTAATTATGCAATTAGTGCTGTTAATATCAGTCACCCAGAGTTGGAGGAATTCTTTTTTTTATATTTTATATATATGCACATACACACACAAGCATTTACATCCACACATGCAGATATATAATTGTATGTGTGTATATACCATATATATATGGGACCCAGTACTTTRGCAGCCTTTTCTGTGAGACAATTTTTCTGAGTGAAACTGTCTATCTCTCCTAAAAAAAATAATACACCACTGAGCCAAGTTTATACCACAGCTTCAACCACATGCTGGTGCTGAGCTGGCCTTTTTCATCCATCCTTGTCCTTTTCCCACTCCCTCAGTCACCAGAGGTCACAGGAAAGCAYGAGTGGCCTCCTTGCCATGAAGTTTATTTGCGTTATTCTTCTCCAGCAGATCCAAGGCTTGACCCGGATGCAAAGCCTTTTTCCATTGCGGATAACTCTGCCTTGCTGAGTGGGAGGGAGGGCACTGGGAGGGGGTGAGTGGGAGGCAGGGGAACAGGGACAGTCCCTGATGGCCTTGCTGCAGCCTCATATCTCCTCCCATGCCCCAGACCCTGAGTTTGGGGTGCGCTGAGCCCCTGGCCAGCTCTGCYGGCATGAAAGCAATTTGAGCTGAAGAGGCTTATGTTCCATTGAAACCTTGTTCTTTAATAGTCTTGCTGGCAAAGGGCCAGTTTCACAGATTGGATGGGTCTGATTCTCAAAGGAAAGGGAGAACGATGTTCTCTGTTAGTAAAAATAGAATATAAAAGTTATAAACTGCTTTTATAACATTTCTAGATCATGGGSTGCTTCTCCAGTGTGCGCTCCCCCGAGAAGTGCTGCAGTCTCACAGGCACTGTGTGCCTTTCCTCCCTTGTTTCCTATCTGTCGCCTATCACCGTCTCTTATGTTGCCTGGGCACTGGCATAATAATCCAAAAAAAGCAATTTTATCTCTAAACCAGTTCCTTTTTCCTTTTTTTTTTTCCTTTCCCAATTATAACTCATTGAGTTATAGTGGAACAATAGTCAATGAGGACAAATGCTTTGGCTTTGAGTCTTATATTATTATTTGGCTCTGCAAAGAACTGTGTGATCTAAGTAAAACACTGTTATTGTGGTTGTGCACTTGGGAGGCAATTATTTTGCTCAGTGGGTAGAATTAAGCACCTGTAAGAGTTCGGTTTGGTCTGGTTTTGGTAGGTAGGGGGCATTTTTTAATGGAAAACACAGTTTGGATGAAAATGTGCTGTCCCAAAAATCAAAGCAGCAATACATCATGTGGAGGCTGTGGGAGTTGTCTTAGGGTGATGTGTCTGAAGGTGAGAGACATTAAATGGGGAAAGGGGCTGTAGTGAGACAGGTCACTTTAGAGGAACAAGAGCAGGTATGGTTTCAGAAAGTTTTAAGTAGTATTAGCCTTGGCTTGGTCAATAATCCCAGTAATTGCTGCATTCAGGTGTGATTGATTAACCCTTGCAGAGTGCACAGGGTCCCTGTAAGTGCATCCAGGTATGTGTGGGGTGGGTCAGGGCTGTGGGGTCACCCCTGCCCAGGCTGCTCTGGAGGGACACAGGACAAGCAGTGCAATGTTTGTCACTACAGTAGTGATGTGTTTATCCCACAATTACATGAATGGGACAGAAACTGCCAAACTATGTGAGCCAAGTATTGCTTGTCCCCTGCTTCATTTTGGGGCTGCTTACTGGATTTCCACACAGCAATTCTTTCATCGTTTCCGATACTTCTGGTGTTCCTATTTCCCCCTTTATCATCCTCCTTATTGTTTCTCAAGCAGTTTGCAAGCTTGCAGACTGTCTGGCTTCCTGTCTCACAGCAGGGAGTTCTTCTGTAAGGTTTTCAGTAGCTCTCTGTAATTCCCAMCAAATACATAATGGCATCTTCTCTCAGTTATTARCACTGGCTTTRTTCTGCTGTAAAGTGTGGCATTATMATTTCCATAAGCTCTATAGTGTAAAACTATTAAAACAGAGAGTAAATTGACCCAATCTCAAATTAATTGAAATAGAAAGGTGGCCATGTGCTATGAGTTTTCCAAATTTTCCCCTGCTTAAGTAAAACAAATGAGAAAAAATCTGCAGATTTGGATCAAACTGGGCATTGCACTTGTGGCTGAGGCACAACACAGTCTGTGGTGGGAGAGCCCATTAGATCACTCGTTCCCATAAAATCTAGAGGAATGTGAGTCCAGGCTTCTGCAGAGTGGCTGGTGTCCCCCTTCCTCACCTGAGCCCAGCCCCCACTAGTCTCAGGATGAGAACTGAAGGCTCATCCAGCTTCTCATCCTCTGGGCAAAACTTGTGGAGCTGCACAGCAGAGGCTGTCTTGGCATCACCTCTCTGGTATTAATTACAGCACTGATTAGGAATTCACGGCCTGTGGTGTCCCAGGAGCTCCCTGGCCAAGTTGGAGAAGGTCAGAGGTACCTGAGCTGCACTTAATGGCAGGGGTTCCTCCCGGGGCTGACATCTCACTGCATGCCTATATGAAGTTTGGGAAAAGGGAAAAACAATACACAGCATCCCCAAATGGCTGTGGCAGCCTTTGTGCATATGTTTTCATAAAGATGTTAATTATTGCAACAGCTTTCCYTTAAATAAACAAATGGTTTCCAGTGATGGAATCTGACTAACAGCTTTATGTGTCCTTGGGAATGCTGATGGTCCCTTTTACCGTGATAAATGAAGGCTCTCTTGTAGTGACATAATCATAATTTGAGTGCCATTCGTGATTTGAATCCCTATCCCAAAGTGCCCTGAACCCTCTGTACACAGCACTGGGCATGTTTTCCATCTGCACAGGAAGATGAGGGAGAGTGGTCCAAGTTTTGCTGGATTCTTCTTTGTGTAGATCTTCTGTCACTGACCYCATTTCAGGAAAACAGCTATAAATCTCAGGGTCTGGGGTCTGCAGAACTGAACACAAGAAAAGAGTTCAAGAAGCTTGTAGTGTTTCACTGGAGTGAAATCCCTCTAAATCTGCCTCTCTGGATTGAGATGTTTTAGATCCTGTAAATTCTGTTTCCTCAGTGAAATGAGTGAGCAGCCAGTGCTGTAGCCAAGGACACGGATCCGTGGTGGCTGCCAGCTGCTGGGATATTCCAGCTTGCTCTGAGAAATGGAGGGTCTGCAGGCTCTGAGCCATCACACGTCACTGACTCTGGCTCTTAGTTCCCCACTGCAAATAGTTAATTCGCTCAGACATATTGAAAAGATGCATGTTTGGGATTGGTTTTGTGCTATGAAGTCTAATGTAAATAGCCTTTTTCAGGGCTTGAATATAAAGGGATGGTAATGGGACACTTTGACACTTTCCAGGATAAAATGAGTYACCCGCCACTTCTCCATCCCACTGTGAATGCAGGGGGCAGGAGGCTTTGGGTGTCCCAAAAGGAGTTGTTCTTCCCAAGCAGGCACCGATGGAATGGTAGGAAGGATGTGATTGCGTGGCTGCACAGGACCAGTGAAATTTTAATTGCATTAGGCATACACCAGCAGTCTGAGGCTGTTCCCACACTGGCTTATGTCCCTGAACTCCATTGACTGCAGTTACAGAATCACTTCCAGCAGAAAAAGATGAAAACGAAATCACACAAGAGAGCTGTTTGTTACCAGAATAAATAAATAAGCCCTGTTCCGGGGCTGATTGCTGAACACAGGCTGGTGGGTGACCTGGAGCCCAGAGTCACTGCTGGCTGCCCAGAGGCTGCAGGAGTGCAGCCCAAACCCAGGCTGGGAAGTTCCTGTGTGCCAGGCACCCCCAGCTCTTACCCATGGCTGTGCRCTCTTGGCACCTCTCCAGCACTTCTTCCTTCCTCCAAACCACTTTCTTCTGTCCTTCCTTGCATATTTGCTTCTCTTTTCTTCGCCATGGGAATATTTTAGGAATCCAGTGATGTGAAGTGTCATTTGAGATGAATGGAGATGTCAGTGTTTCCATGTGCCATCTGGATGCTGTGCTCTGCTCGCTGTCACCCAGGGCCATTTGCTGTGAGGAACATGCCCTGCAGCAGGGTGGTGTATCCACCTTGGGTGGCAGATATGGGGCCAGGAGGCAGCAGAAATGGGGCACAAAGGTAATAGAACTGTGGAGAAGGAGTGTGGAGATTGTCCTGCTGATTCTGGGCCTGAGGTGACAGCAGCAGCTGCTTGCTGTGCGCTCTGGGGTGCAACGCTGATGGGGAACCCAGCCCAACTGTGCTGGGTTTAAATTACTGTTATTTATTTACCTGATCACATGAGAAACGTACTCCCAGAGCATGTGACCATGAGGTGCCCACCTGCTTGTCTTGATTCATCAAAGGAGGCTGTGGTCCAGGCACCCCTGACCCTACTTTCTGCAGGTATAGGGAGGGGGTGAGGCAGTTCTCCCTGATCATCCCAAACACACCTGGGCCCCTTTCCTGARCACCACCCCAGGGCAGGTTGGCTGCTCTCAGCAGATCAAGTATGGATTTGTGGTGAATCACTTTGGGATGTAAAACTGAGGATTAACTATTGCTAAAGGCAAGTTGCGTGAACTCTGTGTGCCAAAACRGAGTGTGAGCAGAAATTGCAGCCCTGATTCTCATGATCCTTCTGTTGATCCTAGCAGCTCTAGATGTCCATGGATGCCCTGGGACAGATGTAAAGGCTCGGCCCTGCTCCCYCAAGGCAATCCCTGCAGCCGAGCAGGACAGGAGCAGGACAGAAGCACATGGCTGTAGCCAGGCATCCCCCCATGGCAGTGCTGTTCCCACAGACACCCTCCCAGTTTTCCACTTCCAACTTAACAGCGCTTACAGGCTGCTGTTGGGAGTAATTCTCAAGATTTCAGTGTAACCAGCGAACTGGGTGGCTGCTTTTAGTGGGACAGGCTGTTTCTGAGAGCAGACAGCCTTAATTGGGACTTGCTGAAATGCTTTTGCACAAATAGGCAATTCATCAGTAAGTGAATAGCTCCCTTGCTAAGCTCTCACAGTTTTTGTAGTAAAAGTGTGTTTGTCAGGCTGCWTTTCATAGTCTGGTGTCGAGAAATATTGAGGGGAGAAATCAGTACTCTCTCTCAGTTCATAAAAGCATTTTATCCCAGAATGTTTTGGTTTGAAAGGGACCCTAAAGCTCATCCAGTTCCAACTGTCCTGCCGTGATCAGGGACACCTTCCATATACCAGGCTCATGCAAGCCCCATCCAGCCTGTCCTTGAACACTTCCAGGGATGGGGCAGCCACAGCTTCTCTGGGCAACCTGTGCCAGGGCCTCACCACCCTCACAATTCATCCTAACATCATTGCAGTTGCATGGTCGGTATTTTATCATATGTGGAAATTGCTGAAAAGATGCTCAAAACTCTGGTGAAAATTGMCTTCTGTGTGGGTATTGCCCAGTAACATCATCTGGATGGGATTATTGGAGGGGTTCAACCATGCTTGAAGAGGYTGGTTGTGGTTGCAGAGGGTTTGCACAGTCGGGAGTCCTTTGGGAGGAGAGCTGGCTGTGGGATGCGGGGCCAGCTCAGGGAGCAGCATGGGAACAGAGGGATGTTTGGGCCAGAGCACTCAGGAGGGAGATGGTCCTGAACATGGGCTCTGTGTCACCATCCTCTCATTGCTGCCCTCACCATTTCATAGCCCAGAATTGAGTGAGGTTAATTGTTATGTTGACTTTTTTTGGTGTGAACTTACAAACTTCCTCCAGAGCCTTGTGCGAGGAGTGTCCCCCCCCGTTTGCCGCCTGGCCTTTGCCAGCCCCAGCTCACTTGGCACAAACACAGGAGAAGGCTACTAGAGGGAAGTCCTGACCTTCAGGACTTCAGGACAGTGCAGTCCAGCCACTGTTCCCAGGAGGAGAAAAGCTGGTTTGTGTTAGTGGTGCCATTGTGTGGGAAGTCCTGGCCCCCTCACAGGAGTGAATCCATGTAGCTCCGCAAGCTGGAGAGCGGCCAGAGGGTAAGAGGAAAGGGGCTGCCTGGGCTCATGTGGCTGAAAACCTTTTTTTTTTAAGACCTTGACTCTTGTAAAGTCATAAATAGAGCTGTGGGAAACCTTAACTGTTTGGATTCCCCCTGGGCAGCACCTGCTTGGCTCGTCCCTCAGAGGGCTGGCCGACACTGGAGACTCCCCAGTGGGGAGTAAACAGGAGTTATTTAAAATGTTCCTCGTGTGCTCAGCGCCCAAACACGGGTCCCCTGAGGACAGCCTGACCTCTCGCTCTGGAGCAGCCACCTGCCTGGCTCCTTCTCTCCAGTGGCTGTTTCTGTATGTGCAGAAGGGAAAAGCYTGCGGCAGAGTCGAGATGGATGCCYGATCCACAGGGTGACCTTGGCTTTCCCAGGAGCAGCTCCCACCCTGTGAGCTCAGCACGGGCAGACTGTCCATGCAATCCTGCTCAGGGAAGGCACAGAAAGCTCCTGGCAGCCCTGAGGGGTCATAGCTGGATCCCAGAGCTTGTCCCAGCACCCTCAGCTCCAGATAACYGCAGCTGCACCCTCTCCTGTAGATTGGTACTTGGTTGTTCTTAGGGAGGGAGCTGTCTGTTCCTGCTCACCCTGCTAGGGTTATTTCYTCCTCTCTCTGTTCCATGGATGCTKTTTTCCCCAGTTGGGGTGGCCTTTGGCAGCAGCCCCGCAGTCCAGCAGGGCAGGGCAGGGTGTCTGCCATGGCTGGTGAGGTGCTGTCCCCTCACCRCCCTGCCCCACCCTTGTGGCTCTTGCAGAGGTGGCCGTTTCGCTGGTGGAGAAGATGCAGGCTCAGGAGATCCTGCGGAGCCTGCGGCTCCCCGAGTTCGATGACCTCAGCCAGTTCTTCCGCAACCTGCCGGCCACGGCGCTGGTGGGCATCGGTGCCTTCGCCGCCGTCGTCGCCTACTGGTTCGCCAGCCGGCCGCGGGCCGTGAAGCCGCCCTGCGACCTGCGCATGCAGTCCGAGGAGGTGGAGGTGAGGCCAGGGCAGCCCCGGCTGGCTTCCCCCAATGTTTGCATGCCTGCAAGGCACAGAACGGTTTGGGTTGCAAGGGACCTTAAAGATCATCTCATTCCAGCCCCCTGCCATGGGCACTGTCCCAGGCTGCTCCAGCCCTGTCCAGCCTGGCCTTTAACACATCCAGGGACAGAGCAGCCACAGCTTCTCTGGGCTTCTCTTGTGTCAGGGCCTCACCACCTTCACWGGGGGGAATTTCTTCCTAACATCTAATTTAAACTTACTTTATTTCAGTGTGAAGCCACTACCTCTTGTTCTGTGCCCTTGTAAAAAATCCCTTTCCAGCTCTCTTGTAGGCCCCCTTCATTAGGGTCTCCCTGGAGCCTCCTCTTCCTCAGGCTGAACAGCCCCAACTCTCTCAGCATTTCCTCATAGGGTAGGTGTCCCATCCCTCTGAYCACCTTCATGGCCTCCTCTGGACTCTTTTCTACAGATCTGTGTCCACCGGGGATGCCAGGAAGGCATTTTTTTTGTTTGCTTGTTTTGGTAATTACCCATCCTCTTCCTGAAATCAACCATGTGCCTGGGATCACTTCACCCCTTAATTTTTGTGTAGACTGGAAAGCTAGAATRCAACATGCTAGTTTATTCTCTTCGATTTTCAGTAAAATTTTGGTCTTAGCTTTGCTAGGCCATCCTTGGCCAAAAATTAAAGGTACTGACATTGCATGGGAGAAATCACTGAAAAACAACAGCTGGTAAGATCAGATCACCTGGCACTTCTCATGTGTGCCTGTTGCTGAGATTGGTGCTGCAAACTTGGTAATACAAAAAGTAGACCTCAATCCATGCTTRCAGGCTGAGTTATTAATTTTTATGCTTGAAAAAGGCTTTAAAGTTTAATGATGCTGCTCTGTTTTAAAGAGCAGAAATATTTCTGAAAATTGTCTCCACTTATTTTAATATCTGGAAGTGGGATGAAAATTTTTGAAGCCTTTTGTGATGTTCCCTCTAAGATGTTAATGTCTTTACTTCCAACAGCTTTGTAAAAGGGTGGAAAGAATTTRCATTTTTCAAGACAATTTTTCCCTGTGCTTAGCACTTTAGTTAGACTTTCTTCTGCCTCCCCGTGCATTCCCAGTTTGGTCACTCTCACCTTGGCTGCCCACTCCTAAAACACCTCTGCCAAGCCCACTCGCTGGGGGCTGGCCTCTGCCTTAGTCTGTCCTTCACATTGGTCTGGATGTCCTTGTGRAGGTGCTCATGGTGCCAGTCCTGGTCACCCATGGAGCCCAGAGCAGCTGCTTTCCCCAAGACATCCCCACTCCATTACCTCCAGATCCATAATTCCTTACTAAATTCCCTTGGCAAATACCAACAGTCTCCTGTGACAATGAGCCAGATCAAGTGCTCCTCTATGAGCAGAGGGTTCTCCATGTCCCTGCAGTGCTGAGGTCAGTGTCCCCCCTCTCACATCCCTGTGGGTCTTGTGGCAGGTGGTAGTTAAGGAGATCTGGCTGTCATTTGGGGRSTGTGCTGCTCTGTAGCAGGGTTTCYCCAYSTKCCACCCCTCGAGCAGTGCTGATGGCTGTGCCACCTTGTGTCACCTTGTGTCACCTTGTCTCACACAGGGCCTGGCTGGGGCGCGCCGSTCGGTGATTGGGGACAGCCCGCAGCTGCTGACGCACTACTACGATGACGCCAGGACCATGTACGAGGTCTTCAGGAGGGGATTCAGCATCTCTGGTGAGAGCACAGGGCTGAGGAGCCCTAGGAGAAGAGCTGGGGCCGTGCAGATGTCCTTACCCAGGGTCAATGGTATCATTACAATCACAGAGCTCTCATACAGCTGAGAGACATCACTCCCCACTCCAAAAAGCCATGATGGCTCTTCCCTGCTGTATCATAACTGTTTCTGTGTCTGCTGTTTATGGTGTACTGCTTAATTGGATGCAACAATTTCATGGTCAGATTATTATTTTTGGTACCATGAAAAAAAGCCCTTGAAACTGCACATATTCCAGCCCACAGGACAGGAGTACATAAATTACTCGGTAGGTGTTTGTAGGAATGGATTTGTGCAAGTAGGTACCATTAGCAAATTATTCAAACTTSAAATTTTCATCCGGTCATACACTGCTGCTTGTTTTTTATCCTCCTGCAGAGTAGGCTGGTATAAAATTAGTAGTTTTCACTTTGAAGCATTTCAATCAAAAGCCAGTRCAAGCAGTGGGAGCTGCTGTTGGGATGAGGGCCCTCCTCAGACACTAATGTTCATGTGACCTTTGCAGAAGTGTCTTTTAATGGGGCTGTTTGGGGCAAACTGCTGCTGTCAGTGGGTAGGATTGAAGCCTTTTTCAGGGATCCCAGCAGCTCGTCTCCCCACAGATGCACTTGTGTATGTGATTTGCTGGGGATTGCTGTGAGAGCCAACCCCATAACTATGGATTTACTCCTGGAGGGCTCCCCCACATCCCCACAGTGTGATCCCACATGTTAACTCCTGGCACTGCCCTTTTAACTCATCATCTCTGCTTGCGTCTTTCAGAGAATGGTCCCTGCCTGGGGTTCAGGAAGCCCAAGCAGCCCTACCAGTGGCTGTCCTACAAGGAGGTGAGCTGAAGGTGACACCCCCATGTGTCTTCTCCCCCTGCCTGACACAAGCAGGGGTGTTGGGGTGCCTGTTGGTGACACACGTYAGACCAGGAGGTTTCTCATGCACCRTGTGAGGCTTCCCGGKGTCCCCACTGGGCCCATCCAGGTGTTATGTGGGTTTTCAGGGGCTGGCTCCATGCCACAAGCCCACTSCTGACATGGCACTGACACATTCTGGAGCCATGGGGCATTGCCAACCACACATCAACTGCGAGCCAGCTAATGATGGTTCATGCAAAGATAAAAATTGGACTTTTATGATAGCAAATACAATCATTTGAGAGCCTCCCTGTAAGTCTTTGCTTAATTTGGTATTGTTTATATTCCTCTTATTTTTTTTTTTAATGCATTTTGTCATCTCCGAATTCCAGGTGGCTGAAAGAGCAGAAGCTCTGGGTTCAGGCCTCCTGCAGCAGGGCTGCAAACCATCCACAAAGCAGTTCATTGGCGTCTTCGCTCAAAACCGTCCAGAGGTGAGGTTTTAAATCCAACTTGATATTGTATTAATGGTGTTCATGACCTGTCAGCTTGTTCTCAGGTTAAATCTGCTCCCATGACCCTTCTCACCTTTATGCTTCCATGTCCTCCTGCAGTGGATCATCTCTGAGCTGGCTTGCTACACCTACTCCATGGTGGTGGTTCCCCTGTATGACACCTTAGGTCCTGGAGCCATTCGGTACATTGTCAACACAGGTAAAAACAAAACTGATGTGTGATCTTCTCAGAAATCAGTTTTGTTGCTCAGAATGGTCATTTTCTGCTTCTAGAAGACAGGTGATCATAGAATCCTATGGGTTGGAAGGGACCTTAAAGCTTCTCTAGTTTCAACTCTCCTGCATGGGCAGGGACACCTTTCACTATCCCAGGTTACTCCAAACCCTGTCCAACCTGGCCTTAAACATTTCCAGGGATGGAGCATTGTGATGGCACTCATTGGGTGTCTTGAATTCACTTAGAGAGGTTCCTGGGGAGCTGTGTGTCCCTGTGCTGGCTCAGGGTTGCCTCTGCTTCATTTTCCACGTGCCCAGTTGTGCAGAGCCGTGGATAGAGCTGCTCTGGATGTGGGAWTTAGATGGCGACCCACTCTGCTGGCTGCTTTATATTTTGCCTCCTAGATTTTTTAATCCACATGGGTGCCAATTTTAATGTTTTGAACTGAATCCCAGAATAATTGTAAGTGYCAGCTACAGCTTTGGCACTGATTTAAGTTAACTAAGGTTGCATTTTTCTCATTTCTCAAGAGAAGTGTGTGTTAGATGCTGGGATTTCTGGTGTAGCCTGAAGTGCCTATCAGGACAGATACAGTGTTAGTTATGAGCCAGAGTCTTGCATTAAARAAGATTTACTGCAAACAGCTTGATCGGCTGCTTTTCTTGCAGCTGACATTTCCACGGTCATTTGTGACAAGCCTGAAAAAGCCAGGATTCTCCTCGACCATGTGGAGAGGAGAGAAACACCAGGCCTGAGCTCCATCATCCTGATGGACCCCGTTGAGAAGGAGCTGGTGGAGAGAGGGAAGCGCTGTGGGGTTCGAATCCAGACCATGCAGGAGGTGGAGGTCAGTTTGCTCTCCCTCTCCTTTTACTATTTTTTGTAATRTCTGCAAAAAGACAGTACAAGGTACAGGGATTTGTGATTTGTGTGGCGGGCTCAGTGTCTGGAGAGCACAAAAGAGCAGCTTGTGGCTCAGAATAGTGAGCTGGTGGCTGATCATCCTGATGCTTGGTGCATTCGCCTCTTGGTGTTATTCCTTGTTGATAGCAGAGCCAGCGTTTCAATYCTTTATCCTCAAATACGCTATCAGCTGCTATTTAAGCCTGGGAAGGGGGTTGTTATTTGAGACACTGTCCTCCTACATGTAAGCCCACAGCCTCACACTTGTTTGAAACACCCTGGATGCAGCTCAACCAACCCAAACACTTTTTGAAATCCAAGGAAGACATTGCAGTTAAGGCAAGAAACTCAGGATAAAAAMCGTGGCTTCAGTGCCAGCTAGGAATTTGCTGCTCTAGCTCACACCCTCCCTTAGCGGTTTGCAGATTATTAGCAAGTGGGTTACGGTGCAGGAATTAAGGTGGAAATCACTTTTGTTACTTTAATTTCTTCCAGGATTGTGGCCGTGAGAGTCGACACGTGCCTGTGGTGAGTGTTGGCWTGTTGCTTTTCCCACTTACAACTGCAGCAGAAGGGACYTTAAAGCTCATCTYATTCCASCYCCCTGCCGTGGGCAGGRACACCTTCACCAGACCAAGTTGCTCCRAGTCCTGCCCAATCTGGCCTTGAACATTTCCAGGGATGAGGCAGCCACAGTTTCTGTGGGCAGCCAGTGCCAGGGCCTCACCACCCCCACAGGGAACAATGTGCAGTGTTTGCTTTATTCMCTCTGTCTCCCTGGAACACTTAATTGAGATAGCTCATCCTGCTGTGAACATGTTAATGGGACAATAATTAAATGCCATTGTTAAGCTACCCTAATTCYACTACCTTACCCGGGTGGCACTGGGGAAATGTCTCTGTACCCTTCACTTTCTGCTCAGGCTTCTATAGTTCAGAAACACCACTTGGCAGTATTTATATGGGTTATTTTGGAGAAATTGCTTTGATCTTTTTCACTGGCTGCTCACACTCATCCAAGACTCTCAAAAGCAAGCCATTTATTTAGTCATTCATGACCCAATATAGCACATGTATGGGATGGTGCTGAGARTACAGAGATGCTGCTGGAAAAGGGAGCAGTCAGCAGCTTTGGAATCTTGTCCCCTGTTGTGAAGTTCTTTCCAGAACTGACCTGGAAATTGATAAATTACCTCAAGTTGTCCCAAACATCTACAGATATAGGTGGTGTCTTGAAAAATACTGATTGCAGAACAAGTACTCCACCAAAATCTTCTTACACTGAAGCATGCCCTTAGTACAGTGGAGTACAGCATAAAGGGAGGAATAGAGTCTGTATCAACTGAAGAAACCTGGTAAAAAGAGTTTTATGATCATCTTTTATATTTGTTGAGGGGGATGATGGCTTTTCATGTCAGAGCAAAAACATAATAGGTTTGATCTTTAGGTTTCTACAATGTCAACACTCTCTACCACTGACACTTCTGCATTTGACTGATCTTATTCTCTTTTTGTATTTCTAGCCTCCTCGACCAGAAGATCTGTCAATTGTCTGTTTTACTAGTGGCACTACAGGTAAAAGATGCATTTTAATCTTGAAATGTTWGAATAGCTTATGAAATTAATTATTAATCCCACCTCAATATGTGCAAACTTGCTGTTATACTGATRTGGCAATGATATTTCTAAGAATTTTTAGTATTAAAGAATATATATAGGTATATATATTTGTGTAGATTGCAAATTAAAAATAACAATATATTTATTTTTCAGTTTAATTCTCTGACATACACTTTGCCMGTATGATTTTCCAGTTGTCTGAAAATCCACCTATGTGTCTGCTTCCCGTTTTGCTGTGTAGTTGTGAAGCACTTGGTTGATTGGTATTTATCTTTTGCAAATGTTTTAAAAAAATACCCTAAACCCTGAAATGTGGTTCCACAGCTTTCCATTCTCTGTATCCTAAGGACATTGATGTCCCAGCCTCACCAAGGTCCTTGTCACCTCTATCTCCTCTTCCTGTGCTGCTCATGGCACCAAGGGCTGGGGAGGTTTTGGATCAGCCTGGGTAGCCCATGATGCTGGTACTCGAATGCTGCTGGACTCTTTTTCTTGGAGAGAGGAGCAGCATTATTTTCCTGCCTGTTCTCAGCAGAGGCAGTGCTTTCTCCTCTCTCCAGACCCTGGTCTTCATCAGTGTGCAGGAATTTCCTACTCTTGGGAACTCAGCCTCTGCAGCATCTCCCTGAAAGCTGTAAAGCAGATGCACAGGGCATCACTGCTTGGGAAACTGTTTTAACACTTACCTGTGGGGAAAGTCCRTGCTCCAGGGATTGCTCAAGCAGCTCTTCCAGATCCACCTCTGCTCTTGGGATTGCCTAATGCTTGGTCCTACCCCAAAGCATCCTCAACTTGGTGTCAACAGAAGATGCTGGGAGCTGCTGGTGTCACTTAGCCAGGGTCAGGCTGAGCTGACGAGGGGACACCTTCATCCTCCACCTCCCAGAGAAGACTTGTGCTGCAGACCAGGTGGGTCGCTTTATCAACTTTATCAACTGCTTTATCAACTCCAAGTACAAACTCAAGGGTTTTAAAAGGATTTGGGTGTTTTGTGTGTCATTCTTAGTTTTGAGAGCTGCACTTCAGGGTGCCCAGGGCAGARCACTGAGGGAARGGAGCCTGTGACTCTGCTCTGTCCCAGCACTGGGAATTCCCTTAATGGGAAAGACTGAGCTCAGTGCAGCACATGGACATCATAGCCATGTACAGAGTCAGTGCAAAGTGTCACAAACGGGAGCTGTAGGACACTGAAGGAGCCATGCCATGGTTACAGCAGAGCACAGTGTGTTTATGCAGATGTTCAAGTCAGATTGCAGAGCAATTTTTTTTTTCAAGTCATGTTTTTGTTATTTTTATTCCTAAATAAGAAATTCTGCATAGAGAAGGTCTCTTCTGATTTTTTTTTTTTAAATTTGCAAATGCAATCATGGGCCAGTTTCTGATTTTGTGCTTTTCTTAGAAACATGCCCAGAGTTACAGAAATAGGACAACCAGGAAGCTCATTTCCCTTCTGCCATCCAAACCAGAGATTTCCAATTTTACAAATCATTTTGAACTGAACTCTCCCAGAGCAATGCTTTGTGACCCGTGAGCCCAGCCTCTGCTGCTGCAGGTCTTTGCATGTTATCCTCTGCCTTTWCCAGATGCTGCATCAACACTCTGGRTCTGTTTTCTTCACTGTGCTTCGATGTAAAAGGCTTGGAGTTTTATACAGCCCATGTCATTTTTAGTGACCAGATTTAGAATTTTCTTTCAAAGGATGTGTTCTCTAGGGCTTTTCCAGTTCTGAAGGGTTCTAAATATTTTTTATGGTGTGAAAAAACCCTCTGCTGTAGAATTTGTCACCTGAAAATTGTAGAATTGGAAAGAATTCCCCAGAAGCAGACTTTAATACTTGCTTTTCTTTGATAGGACCAGATGCTCCAATGCCTCCCCAGGGAGAAAAGAGAGGCTGAGGTTGCTGAGCTTGGATGACAAGAGCAACTTTCATGGTTGTGCCAAGAAGCCATCAGCACTTGGAAATGGGCCAAAGGCACACAGATGTCCCCAAACTGTCAGGATACAATTTTTCATGTTGGCTACTCCAGAGAAATCAACTGTGATTCCCTCAAGGATCCACCTGTAACCAGCTGGATAAAAATTGCTTCCCAGTGTTTTCTCCCAGCCTGGCAGTGCATGTTCCTGTTTGCCAGAGCTCCCCAGGGAAGGAAAGTGCTTGCATCCAAAATGCTGATGGATCACACTATGAGTTTAGTGCTGGAGTACTGGAAATACTGATTTAGCAATGTGGAAGGAGTTCTTCATTGCTTATGAGAACTGTCAAACAAACCTGGCACCAAGATAAGAAGGAATCGATGGAATATATTAACGGATCACAGGGCCTCCATTTGGTAACAGGACATTCACTGGGTCTGTCTTTGCGAGGAAATTCAAACAAGAACAGATCTACAGAAATGGCTTTTTTTTTTTATAGAAAAGCAGCATCACTGCCAACTTTTTACTCTCAAAGTGGTAATTCTGGGAAAGGGCTCATAGAAAGGGGTGCCTGTTTTGCTGGGTTGACTCTTAAAACATTACTGCTAAGGAAGGTYGAAAACTACAGGAGTCCCCCAACCCCGAAAGCAGTAGCTGCCCCATGGCAGCATGGTTTGTTCTGGATTTCTCCCAGTGAAGGCTGTCCTGGCTCCAACACTGCTGCTCTGCTTTGACACCTTTATCACCACAGCCTGTCTGGGATGTTGAGCCTGCGCAGGAGGGATGGAGAGGAAGGAGCCAGGATGTTCACACTGCTTCCAGGCATGGCAGAGCTACTGAATCTGCATTCAAGTCAGAGGTGRAGTGAGTGAATCAGTCAAAAGTCTGAGAAATCTCATGGAATCACAGAATAATTTGGCTTGGAAGAGACCTTTAAGGAATGTCTAGTTCCCAGCCATGGGAATTCCACTAGACTGGTTTGCTCCAAGCGCCACCCAGCCTGGCTTTGAACGCTTGAAATCTTCCCCAAAAAAGTCTGAAGAATTTTGTCAAGGTGTAGGGATCAGATCTGTGCTGGAGGGCACAGTTTTGAGTTTCCAAACCAGTACTGAGCTCATCTCTYCCGGTGCCTGACGTGTGCAGTGCTGCGGGAGCACGGTTCTGCAGGGGCTGAGCATGTGTTTGGCTGGACACAACTCAGTAACAAACGTCATTTTTGAGTCATGGCATGCATGTACAACTGACACCAGTTCATGGAGTTTTCTTGAAGCCTGGATCCCTGTGTGCACCCAGCTKTGAAAGTAGCTTGCCAGGCTGATGGGGCAGCTGTGAGTCTGCTGGTCCAACATGTTTGGATGGGAGTGGCTGTGGCTGGCAAAGCTTTGAGCCCCACCTTCACCCTTGAGCTTCAGATGAGGATGAGACCAAACCAGCCTCCTGTGCACCCTGTTCATCTGCAAGTGTTTGGGTCTGAATTACTCCAAGCATTTGGAACAGCAAATAGGGATTTGCAGTATAATATATTGTGTTAAAAATATCCTGCTCTACTGCAATAAATGTATGCAACAATTGCTACTGCTGTTTGTGCTTGCCTTTAATTATTTGGGAGGTCAAGTAGGAGTGATGTTGGTAATTCTGGCAGGGCACAGGGCTCAGTGTTGAGTGTGCCCATGCCTGTGCCCATGCCCACACTGGAGGGATGCCAGCAACACAGCCCTCAAACTCCTCAGAAACAAGAGGATTAAACATATTTTCCTGTGCTGAAACATATTCACAAAGCACCATGGTCCCTTCCTAATCTGAGGAAGGCAGAATGAAATTCTGGCTGATTTACCATTTTGTTACATTAACTGCAGGAGCTTTGCCAGGCTGCCCATGCCCACCATGCTGGGGACATGTGGGGCACCTGCAGGTAAAGCTGCTCCAATCTGCCTCCGCACGGAGCAGCAGGAGCTACGTGCCAGTGGTGTGATCGAATTAAAACAATCTGCTTAAAAACATGCTGCAGAGAAAGAGGCTGGCTCTGTAATCTTTGTTTGAGCTGAGCTACACCTTCTTTTCAGAAATAAAGCTTTGGAGGATGATGAAAAGGGACAGTGCTGTGACAGGTGAAGGTGCAGAGCCCTCCATGCCACTGTTTTGTGAACGCAGAGGTTCCAGCCTGTGTATTTGCTGCTTAAAAACCTCGTGTTTTGTCATCCAAACAGATATGAAATCCAAGAGGTGTATCGTGTCATGGCCAGCTGAAAAAAGAGGGGAAAAATAGGCAAATACTGGAGGTGCCTGCTGGTGGCAGATGAAATGTTGCAGGGGCAGTGCCCAGATCTGGAACACAACCYGTGGGCTTTCCTGGCTCCCTGATGGGTTTAGGGCTGTCTTCAAGACACCTCTGCTGCTGACACTCTTCATGACTTCCCTTAACTGCAGTCTTGAAGAGTCTTGTAGCCTAATTTTTACCTGCATTGCTCACGTTGTCCGAAGCACTGGCTAAGTAAGAGTGTAACAGCCTTTTAAATGATGATTTTTGGTGTTCAAGATCATTCGTAGTCAKAATCTGGATGAAATAAATCCTCCCAGGATGGGCTGGAGCAGCCAGCCAGGTCTGATGGCTGTACTCATTGAGGGGCTCCATCTGAATGTTATTAGAAGTTGCAGTTGGGCTTTTTCTGCTGGAAATAGCTGGACTCTGTTTTCTAGAGTTTCAAATAGAAATATTTCTGATTGCAGTATCATTTAATTAAGTTTTGAGTACTGCAGTTAGTGGTTTTGGTGCGTATTAGTGCACAGAAATGAGGGTGRAAGTTACATGTACATTTTAAAATTCAAGAAGATAACTTAATATTTTAACCATTTCTTGTTTTGTCTTTTGGTTAAGCTTTYGAAAGTTATCTTCTGACTCATCTTTTAACCTCCCTCTCTGTTTCCTTTCAGGAAATCCCAAAGGTGCTATGCTGACYCATGGGAACGTGGTGGCGGATTTTTCAGGCTTTTTGAAAGTGACGGAGGTGAATACCCTGAGCTAGAAAACATTGCCATGTGCAGAGTGTGTGGGTTAAGCTRTGGCCCTGCATGGGCTGGAAATACGCTCATGCAGATAAAAGGTGAAATTTCTCCTGCTCAGAGGGCCAAATCTATGGGAATGGAAAGGCTGAGCCTACAGCACTGGAGGGCATTAAATCCTGTCTCCAGCCCTGGTTCCCAGGCTCTGTAGGGCACAAAGGGCTTCTGAGAAGCAATGCTGACTCCTCTAAATCAATTAATTAACTTGTTTTGAAGAATTAGGAGAGCACACAAGCCCTGCTCAATTGCAACCGGTGCTTGAAGAGGAGTTCAGTGTACTCTTGTGCTCCTTGTGTCCCCTTGTGCCCAAAAATGTCTTCATTCACTTGAAAACTCTCTGCATACAAAAAGTGTGTGTGTGTATATAAATATATAAGAACATACATGATTTTTTACAAGAATGGTTAATGGTTAATTTCATTGATATTCCAGTATATCTCAGTTTTTGTTACACATATTTCTAAAAGAACACAGTGCTGGCCAAGTGTCTTTATAATATATTCTACACAATGTATAAAATTGTGTTTAGAAACAATATAGGAAGCAGAATCAGTTCACCATGACATAGTAAGGATTTTATACAGCTGATATAGAATAAATGTAAATAATATAATTTCTGGTAGTGAACATTCTGTAAAGTAGTTACATGCACATGGAATGGACAGTTACCTCATACCCCTTACTGGTCTTATAGTTGATGTTGAAATTACTGCAGTCTTATTACTTTAATCCTTGAACTTTCTGAGATTTCCGGACCAGTGGTGTAAAGAAACTCAGACATGTGATGTAAGAAATCCCACTGAACTCACATGTCCCAGTATTTGTAGGACTGTGCCTCCACAGTGTGCAGGATGAAGTGCCAGTGCTGCAGAGCCCTCGGGCTCCTCRGCACAGAGCTCTCCATGACTTCAGTGGCAGCAAAAGGCACAAATGAAAGCTGAGGCGTGGAGAGGCCTGAGCTTCAAAGGGCAGGAACGTTTATTTTGGAAGAGTGCTAATTTAGAGCTGAGGGAACTTGGCATCTTCCAGGACTGGCCTGTAAAAATGGATTTAGTGTTTGCTGACGGCAGTGGGACTTTGATTAATCTCAAAGGTATCAGATTRAGACCCAAGTCTGGTGTGAGTGGTTGTAAATTCGATAGCTCCAGTCACCAGAGGATTGCTGGCAGAGGGTAAATGCCTGTAGCTGATCCACAAGATTTGGGTWATGTCTGACCACAGTAATGAAATTGGGCAAAGTGTGAAGCACTTAAAAGTAGTATAAATTAAAGAAATAAAATGAGAAGTCCCGTAGGTTGCTGTTTACAGATTCTTGTGGCAGTTTTGCTTAGTTCAGAGATTTTTACAAATTGAGCTTATTTTGAAGTGAGTCCAGAGATTTATTATAAGGTTKTCCTCAAATACCAAGAAGCTGTTTGCATTTTTACATTTAACTGGACAACTGTGCCAACTGTAAAATGCTATTCAATGTCATAATTCTGGTCTGATTTAAAACCAGATTATTTTGTCTGGGCCCTTAGAGCAGTATAAAAAAACCCTCTGGTTAATACTAAAGGTTTTGCATTCCTGTGCTTGCAGAAAATGGAGCCAAATTGAAGTAATATATAAATAAATCTGCAGGCCCTAATGGCTTCATTCAGMCTGACAGACACAATAATATGAAATGGGATGCTGAGAACACCTACATGGTCAGTGATGTTTGACTTCAGTASGTGATGTTTGGGAGGCCATACACAAATCTGAGCAGCCCAGATTTAACTTCAATAACATATCCCCTGAGGGAGGAGCTCCTGTGTCTGCATCCACTATGTCCCAGGTCAAGGGCTATTGATTCCTTCTGAGCAGTGGAGTTGCAAAGTGGGTATACACTGTTAATACTGTGAGCTGATRGATTTTTATACCCATTTTCCACTAAACACTGGTTTTGATGAAAATTATTGGCTAGTCAATCTTAAAGTTTTTCTACTCCATAATGTTACAGCAAGCTGTACCCTAGGAAATGCAGGTAGAAAGGTTATTTCCTTTTGGGGMATGGTTAGGGGAGGCTCTTGGGGCCTTTGTTTAGTCAAGACAGAGTTAAAAACTTGGCAAACTCAAGACTTTGGCCACTAATTTTTTTTTAATCGGTTGTTCAACTTTCTCTTTCCCCTGTTTGTAGGACAGTCATAATGCCCATAAAATCACACTTTAATCTCTTAAAATGATGAGAAACACTAACACAAGTAATTAGCTTTTGAGGACTAAGATGAAATCATTCATTTTTCCAACACATTCTGATTGAAATCAATGATTAACCAAAGGAAAAGTAAAAAAATCTCTGACTCTAGTAACGCTGTGATTCTTGAATGGGCTCTGTGCAATGTGGAAAAGTGCTGCTCCTGCAGAGCCCTCCTGTTGTCCAGGAGGCTCCTGCAGCTTAGCACTGGGATCCTGGGGGCTCCTTCAGGTTTGCACCAGGATCCTTCTGTCTGCACACAGCTGAGAGCACAAATCAGGGTCTCGGCACCTCCTGGTAGAAAGCAGTGAATAAAAATTGGATTCTCCGTCAGGGTGAGCCTCCATTCCCAGCGTGAGCTGCGCGGATACGATCTGCCTTCTGCCAAGGAGAGCCCTCTCCGTTGCCCTGTGTGTACATCTCCGTGCTCTTTACTCCTCTGCTAACCSAGCTCCATGACGCTGTGGCTTTAACGCTTCCCTGTGTCCGCCGCTCCCTCCTCTCTTGACAATCTTTACCTTTTTGCTCCTCTGGTGCCATTTTTCTTTTTATTGTTTTATGACTCTCTTGTTGTCTTCCTGTCAGTGTTTCTTTCCTTTCTGTCTCCCATGCCCTTCACCTGCAGAAAGTGATCTTTCCGAGACAGGACGATGTGCTCATCTCCTTCCTGCCTCTGGCTCACATGTTTGAAAGAGTTATACAGGTAAGAAACCTGCCTGAACTGACGAGGCCTCGTGGGGCTCCTTGTGTTTTCTTCCAGAGTCAGTGGTCTCCTACTTGTGAGGATGTACACATTTCCTATTTGCCTTTAGCACACATGTTTGAGAGAATGGTACAGGTAAGGTCCTGGTGTCAGTGGAAATCATATTGTTTCCACGCCAACAACAAAAAAATAAAAATAAAATGAATAAAATACTAAATAACCAGCGATATCTTGTAGCACTAAAAAAGCTTGTACTCCAGAAGTGCCATGTGCATAACACCAGAGCCATAGTCTGAGTGACATGGCTGTGAGTCCAGAGCGATACCAGGAGAGTTTCCCAAGTTCTCCAGCTTACAACTGGCTCAGGGATTGAAAAATAGCCCTTCAGCAATGAGCCAAACTCATTGCTCATTCAGCTCATGGCTACTGCTACCTGAGCAATTTGTGGGACAGCTTTTCAAAGTACTCTAGGATGAGGTGTCATGTGAGCTCAAGATAATTTCATGCCATTTTCTACATCAGCTAGAATAATTTTATTGCATAAATAACATGAACTGCAAAAAAAMCCACCCAACTTGGCAAACACTGAAAAAGAGGAAACTGAGTTCATGGTGTGAGACACGTGATGCTCCTGGCAGGGCAGCACTCAGTGGGCATTCACTGGTGCCTGTGTCCCCTGGGAATTGTGGCAGATCCAAGCACTAGCTCTTGCCAGCCCTCAGAACTGACTCCACACCTCCTTTGTGGAAGAAAAAAAAAAAAAAAAAGGATGATGATTTGTGCTGCAATTGGTTATGAAACCATTGGTTATGGTTAGKAATGTCAGGTGAGACAGCCACATCAGGTCTCCCGGCCTGAGAAGCTGCAAACTTAAAACTGATCCAGTATGTGAGGATTGGACCTGGATCCAGTTGCAGCTCTGTACTTTCTCAGGGAGGCCTGTTTCAGGCTGAAAGCACACTTCCTGAGTCACACTAGCATCTGAATATAAACCTCCCACTTCTTAGTAACATCTGTGCCAGAAGTAATATATTTTTTCCCTGTTAAAAACCTTGCAAATTGGAAGTGAAAGCCCRTGAAAAATTTGGAGAATTACAGCACAGCCTTTCTCTACTTGCAAGTCGGTCAGTGTGCCAGCACTGCTCAGGCAAACAACAGAATTATTCAAAATTCATCTGATGGGGGACAGAAAGAACATTTAAAATGTTTTAATTTCACAGGRTGTTGCTGTACTGAAAGGGACAACCTGCAAAGGATGTCCAGGTTTACTCTCCTGGCTGAAAAAGCTTATTAATATAAAGATTTTTTCTAAAGGGCTAAAAAGTAATTTTCAAAAGCATTCTGAACAGCAAGCACTGTATCCGTGTCCCTAGTTTTAGCCTATATTATTCATTCCTGGAATTTACAGTTAAAATTATATRAATACATTCTTTAAAGCTAAAACTTTCTAGTTGTTATTTTTAATTCCCAGTGAGCACACTGGTTACATTTTCTTTTTTAAAAAAATCATGTGCAGTGCAAAGCACAGATTCAGCAGTGTGATTTTCATTTAACCCACATCACATGTGTAAAATTCCTGTGGTTTCAGCTGATGGAGACAGTCTCTAACTGCCTGACAGAGCAGTGAGAGTGATCTGGTTAGTATTGCAGATTTTTAGGAGCAGCACAAAAAGACCTGGGAGTCTCTTAAGCAATTTCCAACTTGTTTAGTCATCTGGGGAAGACAAGCCCACAAAAGGGAGCTGAAGTTTTCAGTCTACTCAGGAAGGCTGGGCTCAACTTTGGCACCACAGGTGCCTGCTGAGGACACCYTCTCCTCCTTGCACTGTAAAACCATGGGAGAAGTGCTGTTCTCCAAATGTTCTTCAGTGATAAAATGCCAGTTTGACCAGTCTGTGACAGGTCCTTGGCAGGGTTACTGGTTACCAGTAACCAGCTGCCAGTTGGCTGGCAGCYCCCCTGCCCCATCCCACACATCGAGCTCCATCCTGATTTAATTAAAGCATCCTGCTTTCTTCCCAAGTACAAGACTTCTGGATTTGTAATTTCCAAACAAGTCAGGCAGCTTTTATGACATGGGATTCTATTTCAGGGATACAGGATCAGGCACTGTATTGCTAACGTAGTCTATATTGTTGTATTTAAACAAAACTAAAGTATTAACATCTAAAAATCAGCTGCTGCTCATTGTTTTATGATGTTTCCTACTTTGCATTTCTGTATTGATGATAGGTCCTCATGCTGTGAGCTGCTGTGGGAGGGCTGGGCTTCAGGGAAGTTCTGATCCAGAATCTGACCATAACTGGGACTTCTCCATCCCCTTATGGAGAGGGGATAAAGGGGAATCCCTTACTAAAGCTTTGATTCCTTGTTTTTCCAAAAACAAGTGGCACATTTGGTGGATACTTAATTGCCACTACTGAAAAGTGCCCAGAACAACCTGGATATTTCTATTCAGTGCAAAATTTATTGTTACTTCTATATGTATTTCCAAAGTCCCATTTTTGCCATATTGGGGAGCAGAAATTCAGGAAAAGTGCTTCTGCGCTCGGGAGGGGTGCTCTGCCGTGGGAATTGAAAGCAAAGGAGTTACATGTGTTCCTCTTTCTCTCCATCAGTCTGTAGTGTACTGCCACGGAGGGCGAATTGGCTTCTTCCAAGGAGACATTCGCCTCCTGTCTGACGATATGAAGGCACTGCGGCCAACCATCTTCCCCGTCGTGCCGCGGCTGTTGAACAGAATGTATGACAAAGTGAGTTCCATTCTACTCTTCTGAATAATGGAGTTTATGTCCCTTTAGTACTCATGTGGAAGAATTCCCTTAGACATGGAGATTTCTAAAGCAGATTACACTATTTCTGCCTTAASTGCGGACATGTTCTCACACTGTGCAATGGATACAGCTCCTCCAGTGTGTAAGACTCCCGAAGCAGCTATCATGTGTGAATATGAAATCCCTCTGTATTAGCCTCTTACTCTGTTCCCACTGAGCTTACTAGTGACATTTATAGAGACGTGGGATTTTCTTCATCACTGAAACATCAGTCAAACCTGGTTCCACAAGGACTTCTTGTGCCCTTCAACCAGGTTTGAAAGTTGAATCTCWTGTTCTGGTGGCAACAACAACACAGAAAATCAGGAATTTCTAAAAGCCTTTGAGGATTTAGTRACAGTGGCTTTTGGATTTAGAAATCTTTAAAACTAAGGTAAAGGTATTGCAAGGTATTTAAGACASGGACGTCTGGTCATCATGTTAAATCTGTTTGACCAGCTGGGAATATTTATTCCTCAGAAGACTTATCCTCTAAAGACAAGCTTAAGCACAAGCTACTGATTTAATTTTTCCCCAAGGTCAGGGCTTCTGGTGCTCTATTAGAGGGACAGGCACTGGGCGTTTCTCATTTGTTGAGGTGGAGTTCATGCTGGTGACTGATTAAGTTCAGATAACTGCAGCCCCCCCTCACCACATCAACAATCGATTCCCACTCCAGTATTCATGTTTATTCCCTGTCACTCAGGCTGCACAATTTCACAGAATCTTATCATGGATATTATATACTAAGAGCAGCCTTGTCAATCTAGTCAAAGCCTGCACCACCATCCTCTTTTCCCCCAAAAGGAACCACATATACAATAGAGAATGGAGCAAAATATATAATTCCTTTTTCCCCCACTAACAAGCCCCAGGTAGCCTTGTTTACCTGTGCTGCAAATGTAACGGCACCCACCTGGCTGGGTGGGTGTTGTGAGGAGAACAGGTGTTGATRTGCTTTCTCTCCTGGGTGACACCTCATCTGCCATCCCATGCTCCCACAGATCTTCAGCCAGGCTGACACATCCCTCAAACGTTGGATTCTGGAATTTGCTGCAAGACGAAAAAAGGCTGAAGTTCGAAATGGCATCATTAGAAATGACAGTTTGTGGGATAAACTTTTCTTTAATAAAATTCAGGTAAGTTATTTAAGAAGTTAGTCTGAAGTCAAAGAACTCTTGCTTCTTCTAGCAATGACTGGTTTTCTGACAAGGGAGTTTTAGACAAAAATTTGTTAATGAAAAGGGTTGTCAAGCATTGGAACAGGCTGCCCAGGGCAGTGATGGAGTCACTATCCCTGAAAGTGTTAAAAAATGTGTGGACATGGCACTTGAGGACATGGTTTAGTGGTGAGGATGGTGATGGTGATAAGTTGATGGGTGGACTTGACAATCTTAAAAGTCTTTTCCAGCCTTAACCAYTCTATGATTYTATGATTCCTTAARGTCAGTGTGATCCACTTGACTGATGATGAACTGTGGGCAATCACTACTTGGTAATGAAGAACAGACACAGAAAAAGGGAACCGAGCACAGTTTGTTGTTCATTTGGAAGTTTTGCCATATTTATTTGTATTTATTTTTYTCATTTTTAAACACCATGCATAACATTTCAATTCTTTCAGGGATAACTTTACAGAGGGAAATGGAGAAACACAAGGCAGGCTAAGATGATATCTGCCACATCCTTCTTTAGCAGCACCTAGAAATTTATGGAATAGTGCCAGAAATTTTTTGCAGGTCTTTCATAGAAGCTGTGCCCCTACAGGGGAAGAAAGGATTGTGTCAGACCTACTCCAGGGATGAAATTCAGGAAGGTGGTCATGAAAAGAGGAGACACCRATCAAAGAGATGCTGCTCCAAAGTTTTCTGCAAAATCTCAACAGATAGGACAGGATTTAGGGTTGGGTTGCAATTGGGCTTATTTAAACCTGATTTGCTCCTAGAAAAAGAAGAATAAAGATGAAAAGAAGAATAAAGGTCAAAAGAAGAATGCACACATGCATCATGGTTTAGCAACCATGGGGAATGAAATCAGAATGCCCTACTGTTTGCCACCCATCTCAGTAAAAAAAAAAGAGATTAAATTGGCTTTAAACCAGTTTTTTTTTTTTTTTTGCTCTGTACTACTCCAGGAGGCTCTGATTACTCATTTTTTTAATCGGATAACTTGTCTGGAGACATGCCACTTTATTTTTAACTAAAGAAACTGACTGTACTTGTGGTCTGTGGATTAGTTGTCCTCAGTGTGCAAAGATAGCAGAGTTCACCCAGCCGGGAGCGAGCCAGGCTGCATATTGATGCAAGGGCTGGCGAGACGGGCAGACTCAGTCAGCAGTTGTTTTCTTTTGTGTTGGGTTTTCTTTTTCACTTTTAGAATAAAGAAAAGGAAATGAAGGGGGAGGAGAAAGAAGTAAAATGGGACACAGGAATTGATGTAATACCCTCCAGAAATATTTGAAGGTCATCTGCCTGAAAAAAGGGATGGCATTATTTTGGAGGGCTTGGGAGGCAATTCATTTAAACCAACGAGGTGTAAATAAGCAAAGAAAACTGGATGGAGGAAGAGTCTGTTTTCCCAGCAGTTCCCAGAGCCCAGYCTGCAGCCTGCCTGGGCACAGCACTCACAGGAGCYGAGGCTGAGCAGCTCATCCTGCCAGGGACGTGGGCACTCCCCCACTCTGTAYGCTGAATGGGGCTTTATCCRTCAGGAAAGCTTCAGAGCTAGTTCRTATTTCCATACAWGGCCACATCACAGAATCACAAAATGGTTTRGTTTTGAAGAGTCCTTGAAGATCATCTAGTTCCTACCACCTACCATGGGCAGGAAATCCTGCACACACATCCTCAAGAGAGCATTTTATGCAAGCTCTGTGTAAGCCATGTTGTGGTTTTGCCATGTGTAGTAGCTTCTGATGCTTTCTTTTGTTTCCTCCTGCTACCAAACAGGCGAGTCTYGGGGGGTGTGTCCGCATGATAGTGACAGGCGCTGCTCCTGCGTCCCCGACTGTCCTGGGCTTCCTCCGCGCAGCCCTCGGATGCCAGGTGGGCTTCTGTGGCTCTTTGGGGCTGTTCATCCACTGCTAGCAGGAGCATTCATAATATTTAAGAAAGGAGATGGGTTAGACCCTCAGAACTGCATTTAGGACAGCTGTACCAAGATGGATCCAACAGCAGGACTTGGGGCAGCCACRGTGTCCTGGTACACCCAGAGCTCAGTGGGTTGGGAACAGCCCAGGATGGCAGCAGCAGGCAAAAGATGTTTTCACTGTGGGCATCTTCCAAAAAAACCCCTAGACCCATCCCACCCACCTCTCAGCACCGAATTGAATATGTACAATTAAATGTGCTTGTGCAAGTGCTGGGAACTTCATTGCACGAGTTTTATTCTATATATAAATGGAGAGAGCTAATCTTCCAGCGTCAGCCTAACCTACTTAAGGTGTCAACTGCATTATTTCTCTGTGATTAGGAAGTCCAGGGCAACTAAAAGGTCTCAGTTGAGAGCCTAAAATCAGTCTAGAGGGGAAAAAAAAAAGTTTTCAAAATGTCCCTCAAAAATACTTTTTTTATCCATTAATGAGTTCCTCTCATAGTGTAGCATGTCTTGATTCAAAGGTTAAGTGCTCAACTCATCTTCTCCCTGTTTTCAATGTTACAGTCATGGCCTTTCCTAGTCAAGTAAGTGAAATTTTGTACACAGTAGGAGCCAGGGACAGTGTCCCATAGCAAATGGGCACCCACACATTGCAGGTGGAGGCTCAGCTCACAGGACTGTGCAACAGGGCAGTGCTTGGGATTTAAGTCTGTAATAGTGAAATCTTCCATGTTCTTTTAAAGATACCTGTCTCTTTGTCAGGTTTATGAAGGCTATGGCCAAACAGAATGCACAGCTGGATGCACCTTTACAACTCCGGGTGACTGGACATCAGGTAATGACTYCCTTCCACCATTTGAAGAAATGAAAGAAATGCATATTCCTTTAGAAAATTCTGGACTGTAACATAAAGAATAGTTTGGATGGRGCTTGGAGAAACCTGGTCTAGTGGAAGGTGTTCTTGCACATGGCAGGGGGTTGGAACAAGATGAGCTTTAAGGACACTTCCAACCCAAAGCATTCTATGCTATTTCAAAATAGATTTTATATCCAAAGAGGAGATACTGGTATTTAGTTTTAATAATGCAAACCCTTAATTAAGGGAATTATTTCTGCGCAGACACAGCTCCTGCAATAACATCCAGTTTATCTACAGYTATGCAAGTAACTAATGATAAAATGCTAATTATTGTTTATAGGAGAGATGACAAGTGACATGATAACTTTGATTTCCAGGTCATGTAGGAGCCCCTTTGCCCTGTAACTTAATCAGATTGAAGGATGTGGAAGAACTGAATTATTTTGCTTCCAAAGGAGAAGGAGAGGTAGCAAATCACATTTTTATATCAAATTCTCACTAATTAACACTGTATGAAGTAGTTATATAATTATAGAAGCATTTTACCTTTGTAAGGTGCATGGTTGCTGATGTGTTACATGGTGCAATCAGGAAAGGAAAATGGCAGTTTTAACAACAGAGCAGCAAAGAATTACTGAAAAAGGAGCTGTGGCAGTACTTCCAGGCTGATTCCTTGAACTGCTAAGACTGAATTAATTACTTTGGCTAAGAGCTGAATTGCTATGATTTCTGCATTGCTGTTATTTCTACATTACATAAAAAATAAACTTATTTCAATAACTTCATTATTTTTAACTGCAAATGGAATGCAAATCAGTTTTGCTACCGAATCGTTAGAACCTACTTCCTATTTCCATTAGCTTGAAAAAATCAATAGATAGTTAAATAACCCAATCTATTTTTGCTTCATGGAGCACAGTCATTAAAATATTTTARTTTTTGTGAGTTACTTTTTAGCTTGTATTTATAGCAGAATAAGAAAATAATTCATCATCACCCCTGGCTGTTTTGCAGATCTGTGTGAAAGGACCCAATGTGTTCAAAGGTTACTTGAAAGATGAAGAGAGGACAGCTGAGGCACTGGACCAGGACGGCTGGCTTCACACAGGAGACATTGGGAAATGGTTACCTGTGCGTACTGGTCACACCCCCAGTTCTTATGGCAATTATATTACCCCATGTAAATTTTCAAGGACTGCACTTAGTTTCCAAGCCGGTCTATCCTTACAAAGGATTAAGTTTATATTTGGCAGAGTAATCTTAATATGTCAGTGAAGCATTTGAAAGCACAACAGGCAACTGAAAGCTCTGTTAAACAGACTGTTTGCTGAGTCTCTATGGTTAAATAACTTCTCTGGGAATTCTCATTTATTTCTCCTGACAGAATGGGACCCTTAAAATTATTGATCGGAAAAAGCATATATTTAAACTTGCTCAGGGAGAATATATTGCACCGGAGAAGATAGAGAATATCTACATCCGCAGTGACCCTGTTGCTCAGATCTATGTCCATGGAGACAGCCTGCAGGTAAAAACCAAGTTTTCAGAAAATCTTACTTTACTCTTTGTAGTTAGAAGACAGAGAGTTGGGCATGAATGAAGGGAAGATGTAAGTGGATCACTTACATGTGCCGCAATGTCTCCGTCCTGCTTTGGAGCTGGCTGCCAGCCAGGCAGGAACTGAGCTGCTGATGTGACCCTGAGCAGCTTAGAGGATGCTGTGGCCAAAGATCAAGCCTTTAAATTGCGTTGGTGTCACCCTTTGGGTCTCTAATGTTGCCCTTTGCCACCATGCCTGTGGTAAGCTGGGCAAAGGCAAAGCCACTGCTGCCCCCCACACWGCCTGAACATTCATATACACACCTACAGCTTCTGAAACCATGGCAATTCATTCTCTGCATTCGAGGCCAGAAGCATGAGCCTTTCCTTGGCATCAGAGTTGTCTGACACTTGCAAAGCCATGTGCATTATTAATGTCCAAGARAAACACAAACCCAACTGAGGGTATTAAAGTTTGGTAAATGCAGAGTCACAGAGAGCCCTTTTATCTGGGAAAAAGGCACAGACATCAGAATGTACTTAATTCTAATTAAATAAAAAGTGGTGAACCTGCAGAAATTCACTTGACTTATGTATTCACTTCACTGTAGAGCCTTGAATGTGATTGAGCTTTTGCCTGCAACTCTCCTTCTCCTTTACCTACAGGCCTTCCTGGTGGGAATTGTGGTGCCTGATTCCGAAGTTATGCCAGGTTGGGCAAAGAAAAGAGGGTTTGAAGGAACRTATGCAGAACTCTGTAAAAATAAGGTTTGTATCTATATCACTTTTTTTTTCTTTGCTGTAGCATTGTGTGAGCAGAATACTATGTGTAGGAATGATGATCTCAGTGACAAGAATTATTTCCTCATTCAGCAGGGTTTACCTGGATCMAGTGATGTGTGTTGACTGGTGGTAGAGATCTCTGCTAGGTTTAGGTTGGATATCAGGAAAAGGTTCCTTCCAGAGAGGGTGGCTGGGCACTGGAAACAGGCTCCCAGGGGTAAMTGTTCACAGCACCAAGCCTGACAGAGCTCAAGGAGTATTTGGACAACACTCTCAGGCACACAGAGTCACAGGTGACTCTTGGGGCTGTTTTGTGCAGGGCTGGGAGCTGGGYTCCAYGATCCTTGTGAGTCCCTTCCACCTCAGGACACTCTGATTCTCTGGAAAGGACCCCAACCTTAAAAACTTGCTCTGTAATATCGAGGAACTGTGTTGGATCACATCAGTGATCACTGATGCTACTGAGCCATCCCACTGGTGTCTGTRGGCAATGATTCTGCATCAAAGTCTGGCAGATGGCTGAAGATTTACGGATTTAACAGCTATGTCACATAGATGGTTTGAAAATAGAACCTTACTTTTCCTACCAAGGAGATACTTAACATCACCACACTCAAGTTTAATGTTTGTACATTTTATTAGCATATTTGCTAATTACATATTAACTGTTAGTGAGGCATTTGAACTTTACTCAGAAAAATGGTTCTTGGTGAACAGTGAGCATTAATTGTACGTAAGGTTGACTTTGGTAGCTCAYGAGGAATTTCTGTGTTTTAATGCAGGAACTACAGCAGGCAATAATGGAAGACATGGTACGGTTAGGGAAGGAGAGTGGGCTTCACTCCTTTGAGCAGGTAAAATGAAACAAGACATCATTGAGTGTGGTCAGAAAGGTAATTTGTCTGTATAGAAGAGGGATTTGTCAGCATTTATTATGGTACTACAAATCCTTGTTGCAGCTGCACATGATGTTTTTGGAAAGAGCTTTATTGCTGGCAAGTTTTATTTATTCCTTTGGGAAAATATATTTGCTGTGGTTCTGCTTCCCACCCATGCTTGAAATTTGAATGAAATGTCRTGAAAGTTTTGGGTGCAAGGTCAAAATCTAAATCAGGGACATGGATAATCTCCAGATGGACAGCCAGAGGTCAAGATAAACATCTGTAGGAGTCTGACTTTTCTGCCACTGAAAGCTCTGTTAGAAATTGGGTCACTAATTGGCGTTCTTATACCTGACCTCGAAATACTGCTGGTTTCTTTATTTTCAGTCTGGGCACAAATTCTTTCCTGGTGCTTGTGTAAATATTTCTGCAGTAGAGCTACAAACACTTCCAAAGGACAGATCTGAAATCAACCATGGATTACATGGCATTAAAAACACAGAAAAATTATCCAACCCATTTTAAAATGCCAAATGCTTATTTCTGTTAAAAAAATGAACATCTTAAYCATTACATATAATTAACAAGGGCCTTTTTTGCTTTTGTTTAGACTCTTTCTGGGTGATAATTCTAATGAGTAATTCACCATATCAGAGTGGAACACAAGCATCATTAAACATAACCCTGTTATTCTTAATTTCTCAGTTACCTATGCAAATGAARTGGTAGCAGAAAATTTATTTTTAAATAATTCAATGTAAAGCATAGTTTTTAATGCACATTATTGACTGTGCTAGTAAGTCTGGTTTGCCTCTGCCATGGTTTTCACAGTATGAAATATCCTCAAGCAATTGATCCTACCGGAAATTTTCAAATAAGGTATAAAGTAGTGAGGAAAGCATTGCCACCTTTCTAAAAATTAGAATTAAATAATAATGGAATAAAAAATACATGTTTCAGTTTTCAAAACTAAAGGGCTTCAAAACTTAATCTCTCTTGCAGTATGTAATCTTAAAACCAAACTCTGAGCCAGATACTATGGCTAGTGTTCCTGTGGGATGGGATCCCCTGTTAACAGGGATACTCTTCATTATCCCCATCCTTGTCTGCAGCTTGGATCTCTGTCTTGGGAATGACAAGATTGGTTTCTATAACCATCAGCTTCCAGGATCTGAAAGCCATTCCAGTGAAGGGAGAAAGCATTAATAGCATGAACACTGATTTATGAAGGATGTCACGGGGGGAGGACCTGGACCACGATGCTTGCAGGGAAAGATGAATCACATATCTAAAGGGAATGAAAAATGGATTTGCAGCCTATATTCCCGCAACTCCCAGCCAAACAAACTGCAAAGCAGTCTGGCTTGGGGAATCACAAAAGCAGCAGATGGCTGGGGAATTTTGTCTTAAATCAGTGGACTCTGACCAGTCACGCAGCAGTTTTCTGCTTTCTCCCACACCAGCATGGGAAGCAGAAGCTTGCTCCCATCTGTGCTGCCAGGCTCCCTGCTGTGCTCAGAGCCATTGCCTCGAACAAGGGCAGCCTTGTGAAATGCCATTTGCACAGGCTGAAAGATTTGTATCACTTTAATTAGCTAAAATTCTTCCCTAAAGATGATCATCATRTACATGTTTTGTGCCTGCAAAGCTTCTGGATAATTTGGCAAGACTAAATCAGTGCTGTGTACTTTTACAGTGGGGTTGAGGTGAGGTTTCCTAGCACAACTYCRTGCCCTTGCCCTCTCCCTCACTGACTTTYAATTGTGTGAAACTGCAGTGACAATATCACATACTGTGACACTGTTCCTGGTGCGCTGCCTCGCTGTGCTCTGGCCTTGGTTTCATACAGAAAAGAGGTTTATGTGCTCATTCTCTTGGAGAGCTCCCTTCGGCGGGCAGGGGAGGGAAATCCTGAGGACTCAGCAGAAGAGTACCCTGGACTTGAGGCACYGCTGGAGGGAAGCACAGCAAGGCTGGCATAAAAAATTATGCTTATTCAGTGTGATGCCTGTAACCTTTGCTATAAATATATCCCTCTTTTATTTTAGGTCAAAGCCATTTACATTCACTCTGATATGTTCTCGGTGCAAAACGGTTTGTTGACACCAACATTAAAGGCTAAGAGACCAGAACTGAGAGATTACTTCAAAAAACAAATAGAAGAGCTATATTCAAGCATCTCCATCTGAAATCACGGGAAGAATCTCCTGAGTAATGGACTTCATAGCAATATTAGAATAATACTCAAAAAGTACAGAGCCAGAACGACACTGCTGAAATGRATAAGCATCTGAATCCTACATTTGAGCCTTTCATTTTTCTAGGTTTTCATCACTAACTATATTTTCCCTTCTTTTTTCCATCAGGTGTGATACAATTTCTTTTTTACTCTATGTTCACGGTAGGGCACAACTAAGAATTATGCTAAATTGCCACAAAATATGCAGAAATTTCAATCTATGACCAAGTAAATTATGAAAGCATATCTTATTAATAACTACAAACATTTCTAATTAAAATAGGGGAAAATTCAGGTATATCTGTTGATATTTGATTGTATATAACCTAATACATTGGAAACTAAAATCATGGATAATTCAATAATGTGGTCTACCTCAAACAATCAGTGATTGATGGTGAAAGTAAAAGTCTATTTTCTCTGATTTGGAACTTCAAGCTGGATATTGGTTTATATAGTAAGTGATAGTTTTTATATTTTTCAGGACATAAATGACATTGATTTGATTTAATCATTGATGACCTAACAACCAGAATAGAACTAGGAAGGAGTCTCCCACTATTTGTACTTACTAGACCTATTAGTATATTACATCTAATGGATTAATGTTACCTTGAAATTACAAGAACMGGGTAGGAAGCAATATGATAGAATTCCCTCTATTTCCTTTTCATCCAAACACAGTTTATCCATGGCATGCTGATTCTGCATTAGGGCTCCTTCAGCCCAATGCACTCATGGACATCTGAACTGCTCAAACTGAGAAAGTTGCAAAAGCACTGCTGGCTCTGTGGCGGCTTTYGTGGGAGTTCACGATAATCCATATGCTCCCAATCCCTAATTTATTACTTTACATGCTGCTAATACTGCGTAGTCCAGCTGGACTAACTCCCTTTCAGAAACAGCGCTAAAGAAATGGAGCACAAGGAATAAGMTGCAATTCTGGATGGAGCTTAGCAAAATGAAAGGGTTTGGGAAAAGGCCAGCCTGAGGTGCAGCAGTGAAGGGTACCCTTTGTCTGGCCATGGAAGGGGAAGGAATACTCCTCTGGAAGATCCACGGGGATGGGCTAAAGGCTGTATTAGCCATCGCTGTGCAATGTGTCACCGTATGGCAGAACACTGGACGTGGTGCAGAAAGGCCTGCTGAGGAAACATCTTTATGTTCAGACATCTGGAAGMAGCAAGTCCCATTGGCATCACTCCCAATGGCCTCTCTGGAATAACAGCAAGTTGTCTGGATGAAACCTTAGATTTCTGCGGTCTTTAGAAAGGGGATAAGTCTCACAAGGAGTAGGAACAGACTCTAGAGCTCTCTCTTGGTACAAAGCATGGTACAAGGCAAAGAGAAAACTGTCATGTCAAGTTGCTTGAATACTTGGATTGTCGATGGCTTCTTTCTGCTGGACAGGGTCCTCAATATCTGTGYKTATTGTTCTAGCTGATGTTTGTTGCACCAGTGCATACTAGCATGGAGCTGTGCCTGCTCGATCTTCGCTAGGACAGTGGAAACACACTTATTTTCTCTCTTAYCCTGGAATCCACTGTAGACTTGAAGCTAAAAGTTTAAATTTTTAATCTAAACAGTCTCTTATTTTCTCTTTGAAGTTCCRTTGCATGCTTCCAAATGAAATAAATCAAATTAATGAGTTAGTGTTATACGAGGACTGATTTATTGCAGTGATTTCAGAATAAAATGATACATAGGAAACCGTTTATCAGTAACATAATGACTCAAAGAATGTGGCCRTTTGATTTATCAAATGTGCTTTTGTCTGAATCCCTTTATGCGCCTGATTCCTCATTCGATTCCAGTGCAATGACTCACAGCAGTCCAAAGCAAGTCAAGAAATATCTGAGATCTGATGGGATCTTGTATTWATTTTTCACCAATGTACGCAACAACAGCATCCCTGGGGAGCTTGCATGCGCCACGTCTGTGGAGGATAGGATATTGCATAAAATCTGGCTCTTTAGGTCAAGTCATAAAGGATTTTCATTTTGATGGAGTTTAGTTCATCTCCTTTTTGTATCAGCCAAAAGACAGTCATTACATACGCAACTTTCAAAGCAATGGAAAATTATTCAGTACAATTTCCTGTCTGTTTTAATGTGACAGTTTTAAAATAAAAAAATAAACCCAAACCCTAGTCATCTAGGTAAATAAAAAAAAAGCTATTTTTTGCTGATATTTTTTTACTGTTTGAATTTAATTTACTTTTCTCCTAAGATGATTTCAGGCCTTTTTGAGACAACTAAACTCTGTCTAAGTATAGAAGATCCCAATATGAGTTTATTTACAGCTTAAATGGCTGTTATTTTTACATATGTCATCCTGAATAATATGTCTGTATTCTCCTATTCATATTTGATGCAAAATGTCGGATGCACTAGAGCCAAAGATATGAACACCAAAAGAATAAGAAAGAAAAAATGCAGACTTGGCCATACTTGGATGATGCAAAATCTGGGAGAAATTGTTGTTTCACACCAAAAGTGTGAATGCTGTTCAGAACTTGTGAAAAGTTATCTAAATAAATTAAAAGCTCTCTTTTATACTTGTATAATCAGATTTTCCTCTGCAGGTCACTCTCTCTTGCCATAATTATGATGATGTTTGTRAGAGATTAACACTTGAAAAAGAGACATGAGTAAGGCATGAGCTAGGCACAATCCTGCTTCTTTCCAAATTCCAGGAATATTTGTTTTGCATGCAGCATTCTTGAACTGAAATGACCACCAAGGAAAAATCCCCAGGGCTGTCCAATAATCAGTTGTTCGGTTTTGTTTGTTTTTTTTTTTTTTACCTTAAGATAGGTAATTACTATCTATTATAGTTTCTATTATTCATCTTAAAGAGTGGAGACTTTTTGCAGTCAGTTTTGCAGTCACAGTACTGCGTTCTTAGACACATTAAACATGGGAGGTTCTTCCTGGGCTTGGTGCTCTGCCTGTGGAATCACTGGAAGACTTATTCATTTATATATAAAAAAAAATAAAATACATTTTCCAGGAAGAGAATCTTGCTTAGTTATATATTTTGTATGTTCTTTGCTTCATACATTGCACAGAGAAAAATTCATTCTGCCAAAACATACAGAGTTTGAGCAGAAACTGGACCAGAATCTTTAACCCCGTGTAGGCAGGAAATATATGGAATAATTCTGTCCTGAAAGGCACATTTGCAGGTTAAAATGCTTGATGCACATCAGGTGAGAGAGAGAGGGTGAGTTTTTATTGATAAAGTACCATTTTGCAATCTGTGCTCACTGTTAGTCAGTATCTATCAGCAACAGTAAAGTCCGGTCTCATTTTTGCCATGAATATAAAAATCTTGTATGTAACAAAATAATCTGATTTAAAACTCTGGAATGAAAAAAAATTAACTTAGGGGTTTTTTTTTGGTTTTTTTTTTTTTAATTTTACATGTGTTAAAAGCACAAACTGCTGATCTATATGTAAATAAATGCTACAAGATGAATGTAAACTGGAAAGAATATACTATTTTTGCATGGTAATAGGTTACTTAAAGACCTCTTGATGCCTTAGAGAAAAATTGAAAAAGCATTTTATTTAGAGGCAATTCTGTTGGCATACTTTTTGTATCTTTAGTTCACTTTGGTTTTCTCTTGGGGAAAAAAGGTCAAAATTAAATTATGTTTTCTTCTTGGAATAGATGTTCTTCAGTATTTTGCAYATTTGATGGTTTCTATATCACCTTTGCTCCTGGGAAACAATGAAGCTTTTCAGAGAAAAAATCTGGATGCCTGTAGCCCAGCAGTGAAAAAATTTTATTCTTTGAATTTTTCCAAAGTAAAATGTTTTCTGAGGCATCTGGAGTCCCTTTAAGCCCTTCATTTCAGCTTTTTGTTATGTATTTTAGCAAAGTAAAAGCAGCCAACAAATGAGGCATTTTGGTAAGTGTTGCCTATTGTATTTTSAAATGAAAGTGAAGGGGGGTAAAATTTAACATATACATTTGTGTAAAAAAAAATTAATTGTTATTAAAGATTTTTCAGTTTTGGTATATTAGCATGTAYATCAGAGTCATCTATGGAAACTTTTGTAAAGAACTAAATTCTCACCTTTCTCAAAACTGCTCATAAGATTTTCTCGTGGACTGACATACAATAAAAGCTCTTTTATAAAATCTGTTGTTCCTCCAGCACTTTGTCCTCACCATCGGTATGAAGTCATTCAGAATGCGTGCCTAARCTAAACATGTTGTAAAAATAATAAATCATGTAAAATAAAATAACAACCAAAGGAGTATTGGAACGCGAGATTGATTTTAGCAATCTCCTATGAAAACAAATAGTTGTGAAGTCCTCTGAAGATGCAGCAGTCTTTCTGTAATGGTTTCATTTTTTTATTTTAGATCAATAATAATATAACCAAATGTATATGCTTGTTTAATATGAATTGACAATTGGGAATGCATAGTATTTTTTCAGACTATGTGTCTAAACCAATAAAGTTTCAAAGCATTCGCGCTCTATTCCGGTTTTTGTCTGCACTTGTATGTCCCTTCCTTTGGAAAGCCAGGAATKCTGGAAGCGTTCAAAGCCAGGTTGGACGGGGCTTGGAACAGCCTGTTTTGGTGGAAGGAGTCCCTGCTCATGGCACGGGACTTGGAACTGGATTATCTTTGAGGCACCTTCAACCCAAATCATTTTATGATTCTATACGCTCTGTTTTTTCATGCAACGAAACAACCAGATTACTCCTCTCTATAAACTGAAGCTGAAACACGGGGTCTGATCAGTACAGGGAGTATCGCACACGCGGTTTATTTGCTCCATTTTTACACACGGTTTATTTTCTCCATTTTCACACACGTGTGATTTTTGTCCTGTGAGGGCGCTGAGGCGCTGGCACAGCTCACCCAGAGAACATTCCAGACGGGATCGGACAATGCTCGGACCCGCCCGGCCGGGTGCAGGTGTCCGAGCCCTCAGCACAGCCCTCACGCAGGGGGCGCCTCGCGCATGCGGGCTGGGGGCGCGGGGCGGGCCCGCCTGAGGCGCTGTGGGCGGGAGTGGCTGTCCGCGCTTCGGTTCGGTTCGGTTCGGTTCGGTTCGCCATGGAGCGGGACCGCGGGCTCCGGGCTTCCTGCACCGAGAAGGCACCGCGGAAGAAGCGCCGTGCGTCCCCTCTGCCGGGGGCGGCCGTTCTCCCGGGCAGCCGGGCTAGCGGCTCCCAGGAGTGTCGGCGGCGCCTGTTCGGGAGCGCGGGGCCCCGCGGGCCCGAGTCCGCCTGTAAGCGCCTTTTCCCGCGGCGGCGGGGCCGGGGGTGCAGGAGGCTGGGCCGGTACTGGCGGGAAAGGGAGGGGGGAAGAGCACCCTGTACTGTGCTTTGTCCTGTGTGTTGTCGTGGGTAAAGGTGCTGGTGGGGTAATCCGGGCAAGGCTTTTACTAGTAGCGGCATCGGTGTTCCTCAAAGGTTTGTTCGTCRCGCCTTCGTTCGTCGCGCCATCGTGCCCAGCCTAGCGGGTCTTGTGTAGGATTGGGAAGTGGTTTCTCGTTTGCTGTGTCCYTCACGGCTTGAAGAAAACAGACTGCTGTTCTGGAAACTGTTTTCTCTGTTTTGGCTGCTAGTTAGCAATCGGAAGAATTTTTCTTTCGGTAAAGCGCCTCGCCGCCATTTCATGGAGTYGGAAGGGAGCATCTAGAAATGGCGAGATGAAAAGCTTGCTCACCTTTGAGAGAATAAAAATTGCTTAAAGTCCTTACTCAAAAGGAGCTGCCTCGTTGTTGAACACTGTGCAGCAGATAAGAGTTCTTCAACTTAAGAATTTGAGACCGTCGAAGAAAGAACGCATGTCAAGGGAAGGGGTGGGAATCACGTGTAGGCTGACAGATTAACTTGCCGTAGAAATGGGGAAGACAAGCTGGGGACGTGCTGATCCTGGGCTGATCTTGGTAAAAGATTACTTTACTTTAAAAGTAAAGCTTTGCTGTTACAGGGTACAGGGAACATTTGGTTTTGTCTTGTTCTTGCTCTGCTGGCTCCTCACCTTCTGTGAGTTAAGTGCTCCTGTGCACAGGACTGAGGGCAACCAGCAGCCTAAAGGTTTTCCATATGCTTGAAAGAAGAGGATGAGTCCTGTCCAYATATCATCCTGTCCTGAATTCCCAGGGAGCTTCAGCCGAAGGGCTCTGTGTGGCCCTGGGGGAATGCARYGTTTCAGACMCAGTTTTTMGTGTGGGGATKGTCCCAAATAAGTGTGCTTGAGATCGCCTGAAAAYGGAGGCTCCTTTGTGGTCATAAAAGTGTAACTCTAGACAGTTKGGCTGTTTGTAGATCTTGGATAATGAAACTAAAGCACAAAGCTAAATTACTTTTAAAATTAGTTTCAGGTTAAGAAAATATGACTCTGAAATTGCTGATTCCTGATCAATTGTGTCATTAATMGCCTTTGGGATTACATACAGTGAGGACCAGTTTATGTAGATACACTTAATGATATTCCTAATAAACTCCATTTTAAATTGATTTATAGTCAAACTACTTTGAATCAAGGTAATGGTTGCTTCCTTTTAATCAACAGATTTCTAAGACACCAGAAGTATTTCATGAGGTCTGCTTTTCATTTTGTCTTGATGATATACAAGCTGAAAAAAGCTTGGGTAAAAATAATAAAGCAAATTCATACTTTACAYTGTTAGTGATAATAAGTTCAAAAAGTGTTCTGGGTCAGGAAGGGTCAGCTAAAGGTTCCCGGTTACAAATAATAATCCAAATTCTAATATTGAAGTTATCATTACTGAACTATRTATTTATTCTCTAGCCCTGAAGAAAAAGTTCAGTGGAAAAAACCTACCAAAAATTAAAGAAAATATGGAACTTACYGAAGAGAGCTCTTCACAAAACCAAAGGTCAGCTAGAATTCATTCAAACACCCCATTGTTAAGACTTGCTAATAAATTACAKTGTTTTGCCTTATGAGATGGCTCTTGCAGTGATGCAGTGTGAATTACCAGTACACTGATGTTTGTCAGATTATTTATTGGCACTCCATAAAGACATTTTGGAGTTGTTGCCTTTGTCTAAAATGTTATAGCTCTGTGAACTTAGTTCTGTTCTTCAACTGCAGCAATCAAGTGAAGGTCAGAGAAACAGCAGATTTGGAGAAAAAAGAAGAGGAACCAGAAGAAAGTGTACCAAAGAAGGTGAGAATGCTGTCTTGCTTTTTATCTACTAGTAATTGTATGGAGGATTGTCAGAGGCTGAAATAGTTCATGCTTTAAACATTGATACGAAGTTTTACTCGTTATAACAAAAACTGTATAAAAGAAGCCTCTCTGAAGATACCTGACTGAGACTTTGGACTGAAAGTTAAGCTGCTAAGATAAGATACTCAATCATTTCAGCCTAGCCTTCAAATCAGGTAAAATATCCGGTGAGTTATGTGTGTGTGCACAGGTTTTCAGGCAGAACTTGGTCCTGTATTTTGCATCACATTTTCTGTGTCTTTGGCTAGAATAAAAACTGTTGAAACTACTGGTAGCATGAGAAAACATCAATACTAATTATCCTTAATGAGGCAAGGTTGTCGGAATTGTGTTGTGTGGAAGATACCTCAGTAGAGTGTGATTCCAGAGAATGGCTTGCTTTTAGGTCACATACAGACATTTGGCAGGTCGTTGTTGCTYTTCCTTGTGTTACTAAAACTAGAACAAAGAATTTGGAGATGATGGTGCAGAAGTGTTACAGGACAGTTAATACTGCAGTGGCAAGAGAGTAGTGAACCAGGTGCATTTGAACTGAGATAACCAGCGCAAAGGGCTCAGGTGATACTGGTATAGAACTAKTTTTCTTTAAAATGCTAGCTTTTATTTAGAGCCTACCAATTATTTACATTTTCTACAAATGCTTTGTTTCATGGAATCTACTGCCTACACATCACAGATGTTTGTATTTACAGAAATGGTGTAGGAAGTGATCTACAGAAATGTAGAACGTGAGAATCTGAAMAAATAGTAAAAGCAAAAGGCACTGAAGTTCATTACTTCACCACTGTTATGCTTAACTTCAGTTGATGTCAGTATGCCTTCACTGGCCGTCTCATCCAGCAAAGATTGTAGGGTCAATTGATAGGGTATTYGTCATGAATTTTAGAGTAGTAAGGCAGATTGCAGATTTGTTAATGTGCATGAAAAACCCTGCTGCAAATTACTTTGGGAATAGCAGGCTTAAGTGGTGAAGACGGTGAGTTTTCTCAGCATCTGCTAATGCAGGATGATACTTAAATGCCTTTCTTTGTCTGCATCCAGTTTTTTCAAGTTGTTTGTATTGGTCTTTTAATTTTAGAAATCCAAAATAATCAACTTTGGAAGTAAAGGAAGTTTTAAAAMTGCTGAAGTGAATTCAAGTGAGTATAATGACAATAAATTAAATTATTAAACATTTTTTTATATCTGTATAAAACTAAATGATAAATTAATTATGTAGTTTTATTTCTATTAAAGTACTGGTCTTGTATTGTGCTGTTACCGTACTCGTTCTGACTGTGTGATATTAGAAAGTGAAGGTGTTTTGATTACTGACTGAACTTGTTGCAGCCTGTGGCTGTGCTCATATGAATTGGTGGCAGCACAGGCAGACCTCTGCAGACCCTGAGACAATCTTGAGCCCAGCCTGTTGGAAACCACAAGATCTTGGTTTTACATTGACARAACTAAAGTTCCTGAGCATGAGTCCTTCAGTTTACTCAAATCTGCATTTCTAAAAGCTTGTGTCCTGTTTAAGAATTACTTTACTAGAGGCAAAATTCTTCAGGTATGGCTTATGAGCCTTGGGCCAGGAAGGTGTTTTAGCTTAGGTAGTGGTTGGAAGTAAATAAAGGATGCCCTCTGTTTCTTTTTGTATTATGACTCATTGTAAGAYACTGACATGATCATGTTTTAGCTCATTACAGGAATGAAACTCAGATAMGGAAATCCTGATGGTTTGTACAAGATGATAAGATTTTTAGCCTCTCTGCAAACCCTTTTTGTCTCTTTCTTTAGGTACAGAAATGACTCTTCCCACAGGTGTTTCAACCTTTCTTATAGAGTGTTTAGATGAAAATTCAGCTTCACAGTATAACATGACTAGTGACAGCCTGGATAGTTATTCATCCCCTGAAACATTCAGAGATGATGATTCAGGTGAGACTTTTGGGGGATTTTTTTTTTAGTTTTATTTGATGTAGAAAAYGTTGGGAGACTTTCTACAATAGAAAGACTAGTGGCCTCCCTTGGTGTGACTCACCAGGTCCATCTTTGCTGTAAGTCAGCCCGTGCTTCACATGGAATCYGTGTATCTGTCCTCTAATCTGGTGTGAATCAGGTCCTGGTGTAATTTGAATCRTACTTTAAACATAAAATACTCACTGTTGACAGAAGCTGTTTATTGGGAATGACCCAGAAATGTGCTTTCAGTCAAATTCCATCCAAACTTTTCTGTAGCTGTTTGACCCTAGAAAATGCTTTAATTTTGCGGTTTAGTTCCCGTCCTGCAAACACGATTGCTTTGTGTGATCACAAATTTAATAACACAATGAATTTCAGCATAAGAAGTCTGCATTTTTTTTTTTTTAATGTCCAGAAAAATGCCATTTTTACTCTTTGGATCCTGTCAAGTACAAGAATTCTACTCTCCTGGACTCCAGCAAAGCAGTGACCATYGATAAGATACCACAGATCTCAAATCTTTCCGCAATACAAGGTAATTCTTTTCTACAATACTTCAGGATATAAACATTAAAAAAATCTGGTGTGAGGAACCTGTATAAAATATGTAATCAYCATTTTTATGCAAAGTATGTCTGCCTAATGGAGAGCGGCTCCCTGCTAGTGGTGTGTCTGTGTTTGCTTCTAATATTGCGCTTTATATGTTAGTTTGCCCTRAAAAAATTCTGGTCTAAGCTGGCTTAGCTTTTTCATTTAAAGTTCAACTTTCATATTTTGGGTTTTTTTTAGAACCTGTACCAGAAGATTGTCCAGACCGATTCATTACAAGGTAATTGCTACAGCAGACTCTTTGATGCACCTAAATGTTCAGGCTCTTCTCTTTTGAGTGATACTTAAAGGCCAGGACAAACAAGTCTCTGCTCCTGCAAACATTTCTGTGGAGTTTCAGCTACCTGTGTCCTCACTAACTTTGAAATTGGTGGAATTTGAAATTGCTCAGGGAAGAGTTTGCCTTACAGACTTCTGGTTTGGCCTTGCAGTTGTAGGGAAGTCAGTGTAAGAGAACTCAACAGAGGATTTTATGGAAGGAGATTACATTTATTTACAAAATCCATAAATAAGTTGCTTTTATCCAATTGCACTAATTCTGTTAGATTTCATTCAATCACAGCAAGAGGTGTGTGCTCAGGTGATGTGGCCAGGCTTGTCTATGCAGTACAGAGTGTGAAGYTGTTGTCAAGTCTTCATTAAGTCTCTGGCATCTGTGCTTGCCCAGAGAAAAATGAGTTTGGCAGGTCTTTTATATTCTTTAGGAATCATCAGTYTACATGGGGTGCTCCTTTGCTTTGGAATCCTGCTGACTTTGTAATCTTGGGCCAGGTTACTGCCTGTTGTTAGTGTTTCCTTACTTGGAATGCATCTGCCAGGAAGTGGAATGATGTGTATGTGGTGTGCTGGGACCTTGCTGACACCCCTCTATTTCTGGGTGCCAAGTTTTCTGGGACGAGTTGTCAGTGGTGAGGTTTTATCACAGTGAAGGCTCTTCTGCACTTGGCCTTGTCACAGAGCTGCCTTCAGGTCCTGACATAAAAAYCTGAGGAACATGAGTGTTTTTCTAGGACCAGCATCATTTCTTTTAACCCTGTGCTGCTCCTTCCAGTCTTACGTGCAGATATTTTTATTCATAACACATATCAATGTTAGTGTTACACAATGTTAGATGTCTACACAACAGAATCTGAATTTTCTCCCTGCATCCTCCTTAAATATGTTCTGTTCTAAAATGCTGAAGTGCTAACCATTTAGTGAGTCTTCTGTGGGTTTTAAAATGCAACAATCCTTATGATAAGCTGTGTGAATTGATGATAAASTCAAATAACTGTAAAGGGTGATTAAGCAACTCCCTAATATTTTTTAAAATAAGTTTTATCCCTTTTCCCTCAGTGTATATTTTCCTAGGATTTTCTTATTAATAGTTTTTTTTAATGTCAGAACAGTTGTTCATTTTTTTTCCTCCTCTTCTAGAAAGGGACCATCAAATTCTAATTRCAGTTCTTCAGCATTAAGCGTTTCAACTACTCTGGCAGGTAAAATGTGACCYGAAGCAGTTGTATTACCTGTGAAAACTACCAAACTTAAATGATTGCCTGGTATCTAAACCAGGTTTCTACTGTGTCATTTGTCTTCCAGCAAAGACTAAACTCAGTTTTGTCTGGAAGGGAAAGTGTACCCAGAACATAAGTCTTGGTTCTAATTAATGTGGTAGGAGAAGAAAACCRAAAGAAACAACCCACTAAAGTCTCAGACCCTGCATTTTTTCCATTTAATCACCCATGATGCTCAATGAAAATTGGCATTTCTTGCTTAACTTACCCAGGAACAGAACTGTTTGTATCATGTTCTTGAACTTATTTCATATCAGCTTCACAAAACATTGAGTCCCTGATGTAACTACAGTTCTGATCTMTGACTGATATGATTTTGTCTGTGGCCCAGGTACCACATAATTTCTCCCTGCTTAATTTGAAGTGTAATGGCAGCAGAAGTTGCCACTGGTTAAGACTGCTATGATTATGCARGTCTCTGCTCTCACAGTGTGTGTGTCCAGCTGTAAACAGCCAGGTGAACATAAGTTTAATAAGGAGCTTTGCTTAAGGAATGGGAGAGGAGTGAAGTAGTCCTGATGGTGGGGAGAGGGAGATGAGAATTRTACTGGAGGGTGGAACAGTGTTTACATGGGTGGCTTTGGAATTTTCCTTTYTGAGAACCATCCTGTAAGACATGGGGTGGAGAGTAGCTATGGTCTTTGTCTCAAGTTAATTAATGTGTTGGAAATCTGTCACAGGAAAAAAACTCTGTAAAATAACAGCTGCAAGAGAGAGAACTCCAGACCTAAAAACTGGTATACGCTGTTCTTCACCGTTAGGACCGGAAAGCAAGGTGAAAGATCCTTAATAAATCAGCAAGGTTGTAACACAAATGATTTTCTCTTTGTATGGGTGGAAAACTCCACCTAGAGGTACTACTGTTCCTGCTACACATGTAAAGGGGTGCTTGCAGCCAGGGCAGAGTGAAGATGTAGCTTGCCTCTCCCTCTTGATAGAGCAATAGTCATGGATGTCCCCACAGTCATTATTTTTCAGACTGGCTGTGAGAGTGGTACTGAGATAGATTGTGTAGAGCTTGACTATGACAGAGGGACTCTTAGTGCTTACCAGGTATAGATATTCTGTTTGTAACATAAAATATTATTGTTTCACTATTYAGCATGATAATCAAGCAGCTAAAGCCAAAAAGCTGAAGAAAAAAAAGAGTTGTAATAGCTTAGAAGGAGGTTCATCATCGTTTAGGCAGCTTGATRCCTCAGGAAACACTTCAGCCAGATCAAAGAGGTTGACAGCAGAARTTCTGCGGAGCAAACGGACAGATGCTGTGGTGGTGAGTATTCCCATTGTACCCCACTGATTAACAATGGCATGGAATGGAAGTGGGACTTGTGAATTGTGACTAAAGTTACAATTAAATAGGAGAAATGGCATGCTGCAGTAAACTAATGGTCTTAATTTTAGAGAGCATAAGACCAAAAAAACCTGAATGACAGGAATTCAGTATTTCAATCTGAAGAACTAATAGTAGTTCTAAATAGAGTTCTGAAAGTACTGTGTACTAGGAGAATACTGTTAGAGTAATAATAAACAGCAAAGAATTTGAAACTGATACTGAGTTCTTCTGTTTTTGCTTAGCAGATGACTTCCACCATGCTAATCATAGAGGAAAGTAAAGTCCTAAAAAATCCTGGTCATCCTCAGCTTCTAGAGCTAGATGTGAGTGTCTCTCTAATGCTTCTTTTTTGTTGTTGGATTTTTTTGGTGTTTTTCTTTGTTTTTGAATGATTAAAACCAAAGAAATTATTCCTTGTGGCACATTCAATTTCTGCCTATACATCTGTTACACAGCAAATTGCACAACAAACTGATAAATTCTGGACAATTAAAAAAACCTAAACAGCTCAACCTAGGAATTTGTTTTGTATTTTTATTAATGTAATGTAAAACCAGCGCTAGTAGTCTTACTTGCACAACCCCTTTGATTCAAATTTGRTATTTAAATGGCAGTTTGAATTCTTTGGCAGTACAGCTATTACAGTACTACCACTTATCTCTGCACGCTTGAGCTAGTGCATACTAGATTATTAAACAGAACATCAGGGTCTTGATGAAGCCCTAAATAATTTTTTTTAGGCAATAGGATAATATCTTCTCCATGACCCAACAAGCATTAGCCAATCTGAATTGTTGTCTGTTATTTAACTGGACAATTATTCCTGTATATTTTGTATTTTGACGGAGCTATAGCTTAGCTTGTCGCCGGTGTGCAAAGCCTCACCTGGGGAAGACCTGTTCCTGAATACCACAGGTCCATTTGTAAATTCRGAAGAAATTGTTCCTGCATCTCTGAGCTCAGAAAAAGAAATTATTCCTCAAAGTCCAGAAGAAAATATTTTAAAGGTTCTGATTTTATTGCACTTTTWAAGTCCAGTTTTGTCATTTTAATTTGTAGTGTACTGTATAGTTAATCCTTACAGTATTAAAACTGCTAAAGAGAATATTTAAAGCTTTGAAGCTTACTATCACCCTTTCCAATAGCATTTAAAGTGTACACATGTAGTCTTAAATGTTTTCTAGTGACATGCTTTCAAATTTGCATGTCATCTCTAATTTCCAAAGAAGAAAGCTAAAAGAATATCTCTTCAACGCGAGTAGTTGTGTGAATGAAATGTCTTTAATCTTTTCAGCCTCTGTATGACAAGGAAATCTGCTCCATTGTTAGATTGTCACCAGGCCGGAGGCTTTCCAGGYCTCGGCAAGTTCCAGCTAAGAAGAAAGAGTTCTGCATTCCCAAAAGAGTGCCTGAAGGTAAAGGAATATAGACTTGGTTCACTGTGCCGATGGTAATGGGTTAGTTGAGGTATAAAGGTTGTTGGGCTTTTCTAAAGAAGTCTGAATATTTGGAAAAATTGCAAGGCTTCAAAGAGTATAAGTTGCAGAAAACTTCAAATCTCTGACTTAATAGTGTTCTTGTGCAACAGTACTCTTGTGCAACAGCACTAACATTTTCTTCTCCAAGGATCTGCAGCATATGAATTCATAATTCATAGGCTACTTCATAATTGAGACCAAAAGTTGCTAGTAGGTGACTGAGAATAGCTGTGCTGCTTCAGGTTACTCCAGAAGTAACTTAYTGCCCAGAGAAGCTGTGGCTGCCCCATCCCYGTAAGTGTTGAAGGCCAGGCTGGAAGGGCTCTGAGCAACCTGGTCTASTGGAAGCTGTCCCTTACCTTGGCWGAGGAGACTTRGAATGTGATGAGCCTTAAGGTTCCTTTCAAGCCAAATCATTCAGTGGTTCTGTGATTCTAAACACAACTTTGCATTTCACTGCTGCTGTGGAGATTTCTTAGAAAAGATACCAACTTCTTCAGTAAATTATTATTCTGTGCTTTATTTCTGGGRTGACTAAGCCTGAGTTAAACTTTTTATCTGGTATTTCCCCCCTTGSCTCCCAAAAGTAGTTCAAGTTATCAGTACTGCTTTTCTTCAAAAATTATCAGTTTCTCATAAGGTTTCTATTCTTTTYTCTTGAAACCCTTCACATAGGGGAAGCTCCTTTATTCACTTCCTAGATTTTTGTTAAACAAAAATGAGAACTGTGAACAAAACTGTTTSATCACTAACATGGAGGTAAAACCTCTCCCTTTCCCATCTCTCATGAAGTTTCTCGATGTACCACTGGATGGCACATGTCTTCCAAAGTTTAAAGTCATTCTTCACAATGTCTGCAAGTTTTCTGCAAGTTGTGTGTCATTTATTCTGTTTTAAATTCAATACAAAGATACTGTGTAAACGTGGCAGCTTTCAAAAATACTGGATACACACAAATTTTCATTTGCAGTGTCTTAGGTTCAAATGCATTCCTACTTTATTAGCAGATGAGTTATATGCATCTAGAATGCAGGGAAGTGCTTGTGTGTGCGCATGTATTAATTAATGACACTCATCTGATGCTTCTGTACAGATCAAAGAAATGGGATGCTAGGTCATGTGCCCAGGCAAATTGTGGTAATACAGAACACAGCTTGTACTTGGTGGGCAGGTGAATCAGAATCAGCAAGTGGTGTTGTCAGAACAAAAGTTTGGTTTTCTTACTGCTTTTCTAGAGGATCCYGCTATTGGGAATTAGACCCCACTGTGGTGGGGAATTTATGCTGGGTGTTTTATTCTCTGCTCAAGGAGTCTTTCAGATTATGCTGGTTTTCATTAGGAATGTACATGTACTCAAATTTATTGTTCCCTCCTCACTGGCAAATGAGACTTGCAAGATCCAGATTCTTCCAGACAAATGCTAGCATTGGATATCAAGTGAACCACTGAACAGCTGATCAGATCAATGAGCTTTCTGTTACATATGAGCATGTGCTACTTTATTGATAATTATTTATCACCTTTTCCCCCCAGATAGTATTACAAGTACCAAAAACTGGATCTACGGTAAACAGAGATGAGATTTTTGGCTCTCAGCAGGAGTTACCAGAAGAAATGACGGTCTTGCTGCTGCTGTGGCAGGCTGGTAAAACGGAACTCCTAACTATTGTTAAATGGTTGTATTTTTTCTTTGTTTGCATATATGTTGTTTGAAATTCAGTATTACATGTTTCTGTAAGCTAGTAAATACTCMTACTTCATATTAAATTACTTTGCACAGCAACTAGATCCTGTTCTGGGCATTGTTCTGTAAGGATTCCATAAAGATAATTCTTCAGTTTGTTCAGATTTTTAAAAGGTGTGACTGAAGAACAGCAGACCAAATAGAATAATGGAATTACTTTTGGCCCTTACTCTACCAGGATTTTCTGTAGTAGCATTAGTATCTGAAGATGTGCTCTCTTTAGATACCAGTGTTAACAGTGAAGGTAACTGCATGTCCTGGAAGTGGCTATGAAAGTATTCATGTACCCCGGGAACCCAGAAGTCAATAGTATGCCACCATTAAACTCCTTGAATGCTTAGGTCTGCAGAACTTTGGAGCTACAGGACTGCTGTAATTGGATTTTTGAACATGAATACAGGTCATCTTCACCCCATCATCACTGTGAACTGGCTCTTGGGCATTAGCACTGCCACTGTTCTGGGCACATCCRCTGCTCAGCCACTTTCTGTTTCATCTCAGATACTTTGTAATATCACATTTCGCAGTCATTGTTTCTCCTAGTGGCTTCAGATTTAGACAGAAAGGATATGCCTTACATGAACACAATGGTGGGAAAAGCCCTTTTATAGCTGAACTATTTGAAGAGATGGATAATTCTGGGTTTTCAGGTTACTGGTCACAGTGTCCACTTAAATCAGATTCCCAGTGCTTCCAGTTCAGCTTGCAGATTGTTGATTCATAAATGTTGTTCTTAATGTGCCAAATGCCTTGCAAAACACTGTCAAGAACACTTTTTTTCCACTTGAATTCATTGCACCCCTACCGTGTTCTCACTAAACATACTTTATCAGATTTTTTCTGCACAAAAATGAAGTTCTTCAATGTTCAAAATGTTAATAGGGCTTTCAAAAGTCTTGAGTTTGTTTCTCAATGTTATCTCCCTGGAAAACAGTTCTGTATTTCTAAAAAGAGCACGACAAGAAGACATACAAAATCCACAACTTTAGTTGGACTGCATTTGAGAATACCTGCCAAAGTTCAAACCCTGATCTTTTCCCCATTGCTCTAGGGTAGAAGGAAGTGCAAATAAATGCTGCTGGATTAGTCTATGAACAAGTATTATATAAACATTCTATATGGCTCAAGGTTAAAAATTATGCCATTAAGGTTTTTTCTTCKAAGCATTAGTAGAATGAGTTCTGCCAGTAACTCCTTGGAGTCCTCTCAGATAGGCTCTTAATTATCAATATCCTTGTTCTTGCAAATACTAAATCACTAATAATTATGCAAGAATCTAGAGCCCCAAGGAGATAAAGGTGAGCTCCTTGATGTAGCTTTAAGCAAAATCAAAAGCTAAGTATTTAGTAAGTCGTCATTATGGTTATTCAAGTAAAGGATGGTCCACAATCAATATATGTTTTTTGTAAGGGTATTCTGGAAGTGGTAGGAAAGAACACTTATTTTGGTAGTTTCATACAAAGAGACTAATACTGGCAAACAAATTGGAAAGTACAAGAGAAGAAAATACAGCCTKTTACTGTGGAACTGGCTGTAACAGCCTCAATATTGCTAGGGTTTGCTTTTGTTTTTCTTGATGTGATCAGGCAGTATAAGAGGACAGAAACATCATGAACCACAATCTCTTGTCCTTCCCTTCAGTTATGAAAGCACTGTTTCTTATTTTCATCTTTTGTCTGACTCTTAGAGAAAGTGTAATTAATTACCAGGCTAGCTGTTTGCCCCAGGGAAGGAAATTCATTTTGAGGCTGCAACAATCTCTACTCTTGTTCTGCTGTTCTCAAAGGAAAGGCATTTTCCCAGAGTTTGGTTTTCAGCTGAAAAATGACTACATAAAATTTCTTTCAGAGTGGAAACYGGCTCTTCCATATTGGTGGATAAAGGTTATGGGTCATGGCCAGTTAATGGGTTGGACAGAGGAGGTTATTTGTGCAGTGATTCAGGAGAGGAATCTGTTCAGTGTCACTARGGCTGCTCTGTCACATCCCAGACATGATGAAGTCTTAATGGCCTGAATGGAATYGCTTCCAGCAAGTCAGTCCATGCAAGAACTCTGATAATCCTTTATCACCAGGAATTGTGCATGGCAGATGCATGTTAAGTAAATGTATTATACATAAATCTGTAAGAGGTTTTTCATTAACACTGTTCAGTTATTTTTGTTATCTGAAGTGCACTTCTAGGAGACTTTGACTCCAAGTGCTCAGAGATGGTGGGTGATGTGTTTTGTACTAGAGTGCCACAAGGGTACATGTACAGGCTGGTGGAGGGTAAAGCCTTACACGCAAATGGTTCTGGTTTGGTTCATAATCTTTAGCGACTTTAGAGAGGTCTGGGGCCTAAATCAAAACATACTGAATGACACGTAAGTTCACTTGCATTTAAAGGGACTCCATCMGCTAGAATTGTAATGCACTTGAGYTTAGCTTAATCTTCATTGCTCTAAACTGTGAAATTACTGAAAGCTCAGTTACATATCCTGGCCAAAATTCTACCATTTTATTGTGTTCCAGAAGACATTTTATATTTGAGACTGTATTTACATRCTCCTCTTTACATACTCCAGGAGGCTTTCATATAGTGAAAGGATGTAGAGATTGGTCATGTATTAATGTGTGGCAGGCATGTGTATGTTCCATACAGAACAAGGGGGAAAAGATGCATCTAAACATTAATTCCGGTTTTGTGTGAGAATTTTCTACAACTTCTGGTAGATGGAAAACAAAGTTCCTACACATTGTGGAGAATCATTATGTGGATATGTTACACATGTGCTAAATAATACCTTAAAAATAATCTGCTTAATTTAATCTGACATCATACGTTGTTTCAGCTTAATTCCATTTTCAGGGAAAGCAGATGAGTCAGTCAGTTTTGTCAGTGCTTAATTAAACTTCCTAGCAGTGTTGTATCTGAACAGTGAGAYACTGAAGGAGACTGTTAGCTGTTACCAGGGTTTGTATTTCACTCAAATGTTACTAATAAAGAGTTTTGCAAAAAGCCACAGATCCTTTTGATTTTATAAAACGTGCCACACTTTTTTTATTTTTTTTTTAACTTTGTTTTGGAATCAGTTGCTGGACTTTATGTCCTAAATACTATTTTGTGGATGGATGTTTTATCTGTAATGATGGCTTCCTCTGCCATCAACTACACGCATTCCACCGTCCCTGTAGGTTTTGAATCGACTCCATCTGAGCTGAGCCATTCTGCTTACAGCTGTGGGAGAATCGCTTCTTGTACCTGGCGGGAGAGCGGGCAGGCGCTGAATTTTTGAGGTTTGGGGTAAAAGACGTCACCTTTGCTGCACCCCCGCACGCTGAGTCCCGAAGGCGCTGGGTACAGGCACGAGAAGGATCTGATGTCTCGATCGTGACCTCCTCTCGCCTTCCTGGGGTTCCTGCCTTTAACTTCCGTCCGAAGAAGGAAAACACAAGAGCGGCGCGTTCTCGCCGCCCCCGGGGGATTCCTCGGCCCTGCCCCCGGCGGAGCCCCGCACACGCGGCCGCCGCACGAGCGGGCGAGGCGGGGCAGCCCCGGATTCCCTGCAGGCCCGGCTCTCCCCCCGTGGGGCCGCCCCGCCGGGCCCGCCCCGCCCGCCGGCCGGCCCTCGCTCCCTGCGTCCCTCCCCTCGCTGCCTCCTCCCCTCCTGGCAGCGCCGGGTGACTAATTTCTGTCATATGACTGTGACACCGAATGGAGCGGGGCGGGCGGAACTAGCCGCGGCGAGGGGACGGCGCTGCGCGGAGCCCAGCGCCTCGGCGGCGGGGGCAGCGGCGGCGCCCCAAGATGCCGCCCACCCTCTTCCAGAAGCTCTTCAACAAGAAGCACGGGCTCATCTCCCCGGCCAGGGACGCCCGCGACGACTGTGTCTTCAGGTAACCGGGACGGGGCCGCTCTCCTCTCCTGCTCCAAACTTCTGCGCCGAGTTCCTCGCTCCCTCCGCCGCCCGGAGGAACGCGGGGGCCGGCAGACCCTTCCCTGCCCCCTCGGCAGTCTCTCGGCGCCGTGCCCCGCTGCCCCCGGCCCCGGGGGATCCGTCCCCCGCCCTCCTTGGGAGCCCCGGGGGTGCCCGGCCGGGCCCCTCCGGCGGGCGCGGTGTGGGAGCCCCCCGGGACCGCCACGTCGGGGCGGCCGCGGTGCCTCGGCTCGGCTGCCTCCCTCCCTCCCTCCCCTGCCGGGGGCCGTGCCTCGCCCCCAGCCCGCCGCTGCCTCCCCTTCCCCGGCGTGTGTGGGGCCCCGGCCCCCGCCGCTCTCTCCGGGGATGCTGCGGGCCGGAGAGGGCGACAGGCGGGCAGCTCTCCAGAAAGCAGCCCCGGGAACGGCGAGAAAACGTGAAGTTTTGGCCRAGAGAGGAGCGGGGCTTCTGGTGAAATTGGTCACGCTCTGACCGCAAGCAGCCCTGGCTCGGCCGGGCGGTGCCAAGCTGAGCACGGGGAGCGGGCAGGGGCCCCAGGGCAGCCCGGGGCCGGGGGGCTCGCACGGCTCGGGCTGGGGCCCGGTGGGGCCGGGGCTCGGGTGCTGCGGGGCTCGGGAACAGGTAGTTCTTGTGCTGTTCCACGCGTGGATCGTGGGCACGCTCGAAAGCGATGCCGTGTCTGCGTCCTGGCAAAGGAAGAACCTGCAACTCGTTTTGAAGTGCAGTTTGCCTCCTAGATGCAAATACAATCTGCTTCATTAGTAAGAGTTACGCGCTTCTTGAAGCACTTCTAACAATGTGGTGAAGCTTTCCTCCCACCCGCTGCCTTGAAATTTATTGCCTGTAAATGATGAGCCCTTTGGTTGCTCTGTAAAGGAAGATCTCTGACTGATGGGCTTCATTTTCTGTGGTGGGATACCCCTTTTAGCTGCAGTATGTCGCGGTTTGGATGGATTATAGTGTATCTGCAGTTATCTAAGCACGAGGATTTAAAAAAATATTGATGGGACTGAGTCCTCTGGGAGTCAARACACGCTCCTGGACACTACCTGGAGCTCAAGCAACTTTTGAAGATGCTGATCATAGCTGCTTGCACACCTCTTTGTTWTTCWCTGCGAAGGTGAATCCTTTTTTTAATGATCTTTTCCAAGAAACAAAATGTTCTAATGATGTCAATGACATCTTATTTTCCAAATCATCCTAATACTGGACTAGAGCCCTTCCTGGGGAGGGGGCATTAGGACTGCTCCGTGTCTTGCCTTTTGCTGTGCCTTGGTATCTGGAGATGGGTGTTCATGCAACAGTCGCAGTGCAGACCTGGGGCAGAAATGTGGGGATCACACCCGTGTTGAAAGGAGGAGAGYGAGTACTTGGCAAGGTCTGTGCTCCCCTTGTCACCTGCATCATTCTGTGCCRAACTGGGTCTGAAATTTATAGTTCTGTTT